TAGTTCCTTGTAGTAACAGTTTACCCATTAATCGATGGAAAACTGCGTAACAAACTGTACATATATGTACGTGCATATAAAATGGCGTATTAAAAACTAGGTAATGAATTAATAGCGTATTCATAAATTAGCACAAAACACTAATGCACCGTATATTGTATAAATGATTTCTTAGCGTATTTAATTAGCGCATCGTTGTCCAAGCCAAAGGCGCTAAAATATGAAGCCCGCTTTTTCAAGAATACACACACTATATGCACAAAGCCTCCCGTGACCCCTTCTCATCTAACATTGTTAGATCTAACATCAAACATTGGATTCAGGATGTTAGCCAGTCCTCCGAACTACGTACCTTTATAACAGCACTAGACGCGTTTAACCAATTTTGACCGGGGTAGCTTAAAATGTTTCCGTTTGTTGTAAATTCAATTACTTTAGAAAGTAAATTTAAATGGTCTTTCCTAGACTCCTCTGTAAAATAATGAAAGTCTAAATATGGGATCAAGGATGTTAGCCAGCTTCTGGCACAAGGATAACCTTTTTAATGGTATCATAGCTATTGCTATCATTTTGGTCAGGGTAGTTATATTGGTTTGGGATCCTTTTTTTTGAGCTAGACTTTTGATTCGATTTTCAACATGCATTATATTGAGACAATTAAGATTTTTTTTTCAAAAAAAAAATTATTTTGACACTGACGGTAATTTGAATAGCGACTCGGGCACACCCCACCGAAGCGAATAACCTAACTTCTGACTGCCGCAGAAAAACCCTTAAATGTTGCTAGTTGAAATGGCCTATTTAACAATATTTTACAATTTATCCACTTAACATCTTTTATCATTCGGAAATGATTTCTTGTCTGCTAATGTTATAAGAAAATATTTCACAGTGTTCAAAAGGTTACTTAAGATTTGAGTAGATATTGATCTCATTTTTTTCTATGATTATCACAGATGTATATAGATGCAACAATATATTTGTGAAGTGGTGTAAATCAGATTTGGATAGTTTAAAAAGCTTCCAAGGAATTTCAGAAAATTTGAAATCACAAGATTTTACCAAAATCAACAGCTTTTAAAAAAACTTATGACTTTTCAACTTTATACACAACCATTTCCCACGATAAATTAAACTGTTAAACGCCAGGCTTTTTGATATCATTGACAGCTGCGTTTTCAATAAAAGTGGAACTCGTAAATTTACTTACCTTGCCATCGGTCATTCGAAAAATTGTTTTAGTTTTTTAAAACATTCTGATTGTACACACAAATACTCTGAAGTTGACACAAAAAAGATGCTTGAGTGGTGGAGACTAGGTCTTCCAACAATCTACTAGTATTATAATTCCCAAGGGTACCCATTGCGCCCCGTTATTAGCAGACCTATTTTTGTATTCATATGAAGCAGAATTTGTCTAAAGTCAAGAAAACACTTGCTGTGGCAGTCAACGTGACATTTAGATATATCGACGACGTATTGTCAATTAACAATGGTTAGTTCCATTCTTATGTCGATACGATATGCTTGAAATGAAAGATAACGAAAAGTCTGACACATGTGTATGATATTTGGATATTTTACTTGATAAACACGTTAATGGTAATCTAACAACCAAGGTTTATGATAAACATGATGACTTTAACTTTTCAGTCGTCAACTTCCTTTATTCCTTCATCACCTGCTTAAGAGGTTTACTGTAAACCAACTTTTATTCGCGACGACTTTATTTCGCGATTTACATGGGGTAAACTAGTTCGCGACGATTAATTTTCGCGATAAAGATACCTTTTTAACAGACACATAGACTTTAAAAACCGGTTCGCGGCGAGAAATATTCGCGATGACGAAGCTCTCGCGAACTTCGCAAAAATTTCTCGCACGCAAATAAAAGTTGGTTTACAGTATATCTCTCAATTGATGTGATACATGTACGTAATTACATACTCTTACGCATGAACAATTTCTGAAACGAGGTAAGTTATTAACAAACGTTGATGAAACAAGAATATCAACAGTCTCTTTTAAAGTAATAATTTTGTAAGTTCTATGGTTGATACGATGGCCATGTCAGCAAAATCTAATTTATGATTAAGTCAAATGCCGAGTGATAGCAGTGGTTAGAAAGTCTGTTCTAGAGTCGCGAAGTAAGGAGTTGAACCTTACTTCCTGGGTTCGAATTCCACTGTAGGATGCGGAGACCGGTCCTTTGGATGAGACCGTACATGTATAACCGAGGTTCCGTGTCGCAGAAGGAATGGGCATGAAAAAGATCTATCACTGCTCAATGGCCTTAAGTGCCGAGTATAGGACAAAATATGCAGCTCTCCACCGGCAAGGGGTGGCGTCTCCATATGAGCGAAAAATTCTCGAGAGGGACTTTAAACAACAAATACTGAATAAGATTTTTCATACTAATTTTAGGTCATTATTTACACACTGAATTGTCGACAAATTTTTCCATTGTTTCCCGATCATAACAACGAACACACGGCAGGTGTGGAATACTGTTCGTTTATCTCCATATAATTTAATTTTGTTTATATTCTCGCCTCTCATTGGTTGATTTCCAAAAAGGAACGCAGAACATTTTGTATAATCTGGTTTGGTATGGGGACGCACCCCCTTGACGACCAGCTTAATCATCTTATCCATGCAATCCCCTCATTTACAAACTCGGAATCCATGGAAAATTCAAGATTTAATAACTGTATCTTTAATTTCAAACATTTACTCGATCTTACCTCATGTAAACACACAACATGGCTGCTAGATCTATGTATCAGTTATTACCTCCCCTCGCTTCACATCACTTCCGTTACTAAGGTTGTATTATTGCGCGGTAAATTTGAACTTGTAAAAAGCAACACAATTTTACATCCAAAGTTGTTTAATTATTTTAAAATTAAATTATAAGGAATGACTCTAATTCTTGGCCAAATTATCGAGTATAATCTGGTTTGGATCAGTTTACGCTTTTTTATAATCCTCTTCGCGGATTATAAAGCGTAAACTGACCCAAACCAGATAATACTCGATAATTTGGCCAAGAATTAGAGTCATTCCTTAAATATTTCATTTTAATCTTTATATTCTGAGGAGTTTATTCATTTATCTTATACATGTATTCTTTTGGCAAGCATTATTATAATCATTTACACGCATCAAAATAAGACTTATTCTGAACCTTAAATAAGCTGTATACTGATACGAAGAACAGGTGTGCTTATTCCCAAATGTTAAAATTCTTTGGTCTAAGTAATGTCGATCGGGTGCCGCTCTATTTATAAAACTGCAAAAAATGATCAAATTTGTTGAAAATCCTCGTCTCCGTATGAGACAAAGGATGGTATATGATTTTGATGAACAAGAAACTATCTTTTAAAATTCCGAAATTCATTTCCTCTGAATCAATGGCCTCTGGAGTTGGAGCGGTGCTATAGTGATCATACATGGATATGGAAATATTAAATCTGTGTTGAGACGTTATTCCCTTTAATATATTTTTACTGATTAAAAAGTATAAAAAGGGAAAAAATATGAGGATTTTAAATGTATTTAATACAAAGTACAAAAGGCACTTTAGTCAGATAGACTTGTTCATAACAGATGAACAACAAGACAACGCTCATATGAGTCACCACTGTCTTGCTTTTCTACATCAAGACATTTTTTATATTCCTATGTAAAATTTGATCACTTTTGTTGCCCCATCCGACCCGAGAGATCATGATGTAAGAACTCTCCTTTTATAATCCCAGTTGAAACTTTTGGGTAACACCCTACCCCGAGGTCTTAATAAAAAATGGTGGAACGTTCAAAGTCTGATGATGCTTCCGTATTATAAATTAAATTTGACAAATAATGCCTTTGTTGTGTTAGAAAACAATTTCTAGATTCTGTCCTTTATACCCTTGTAAATAAATGATCTCCAGTATTTCCTAAGTTCTCCTCACTCGTTAAACTTTGACTATTGTGGACCACCCTCTATAATAGTATAATAGAAAGACGGACGGAGGGATAAGAAAAGCTCACTTAATCCCTCAGCTCAGGTGAACGAAACAAAAATTAAATGTCTAATGTACATTTTTTTTATTATCATTCAACAGACAATAAATGCGTGACTGAGCTTCAAAAGATATAAAAAAAATTAAAATATTTTATATACTCTGTGTATATCAACAAAAGAATTTAAAACTCGTCTCCGATTACTCTCCTCCTATGTAAATTTATTTACCTTTGTATATCTGGACAGGTAGATTCAGCCAGGTAGCAAAGCTGGTAAGGATTTATCTCTAAACATGACGGCCCTGTCAAAGTATAGTATAGGTAAACATTAATTACTGAACTCTTTTTTGTGATCAATATTATAATGCATGTTGTGAAGTATTCTCAGTTTTGAATATGAAGTTAATTCTTTTGAATCAAATGTTCCATACAAAATTTGCTCAGAATTGTTAGAAGACTCACATCTATAAAGTTCGTTTGACTGATACACTCCTTTTGGACACGTTTCAGGAAATATATCTGTACACTTTTTCCGTGGGTCAAAAGAAACATTTTTTGTGACTGTATGGTAAACTGCACAATGACCTGCAAAAATTATTTAATATTCTTAAAAAATACTTTTATATGCTAAATCAAGATGATACACATTCTATCGATCGATTATTGATTATTTCCAGTGTTTGCCAAAACCATCTAAAAGAATTTAAATCCCAGTCCGGTGGTATATACACGTAATGACATGTTCCATTATGGTCTGGGACAATTTTGTAGGTAACATTTTGTATAGTTTTTTTTATTGATCTCACCATTTTAGCAGAACAAGGAATGGTAATATTTGATTGAGACTTTAATTGTTGACAGAACATACAATTTTAAATCAAGTAAGTAAAACGATTATTTTTCAGTTCGACAATTTTACGTTTCCCATTTTACTTGAAACATGTAACACTATGTGGAGATAAGAAGGAAACATAACGTGGATCAAATTACAATGTACCATACAGAACACTCACTTTTTTATCCTTCCTTTTTATCAAATTACAGAATGTATGATAGAATAATTGATAATCTATTAAATGCAGTACGAGTATACACTATTTGAATTGCAGGTAACAATTGCTTGATTTTGGATGAAAATGATTTGTGCTCATACCTGGCTGTATTGTTTGTGGAATGAAGCAGTCCTCTATTGTGTCATTCAAATTGTTTGTAGGGAGACAATGATAAACACGATTTTCAGTATTGTCACAGATTGTCTTTGATCTTTGTGTCCAAGATGTTTCATTCTTCGGACATTCCTTGCCACTAGAGTGTGGTATCATCTGCAAGAGCAAGTTTAAAAAAAATCTTCAACATATAGCAAATCACCTTATCCTATAGATGTGTCCTTACTGTTAAACAAGGTAGGTTTTATTTTACTTCCTATCTTTATTTATTTATTTTAATGAAATGTGTTTGTTTTGCCTCATGGGATATGGTATATATATATCTTGTTTTAAACTTCTTTTTTATTCATTGCAAAATGATCAATAGTAATAGCAATGCAGCAGTAATAGTCTTTGCAATAATTCTTGATTTATAACGCACTTCTTTACCTTTCAGTCTACAGCAGCAAATACTAGTACATGATGCATGAGACGCTTATACCAAGATCAAGGAGGTAATAAATTAATTTTTAGCTTTCATAAATTTATTTTAATGTTAAAAATGCATTGTCACAGTGGCATGAAATCAATGACAAATAATTAAGAATAACAAACTATGATCTTGCTCATAATGATGAATTGTAGGGATATATTTTTTGGAACCACAGTAGCAATAAGGTAATTGATATTCTGAACTTCTTAATAAACCACTAATTTAATAATAAATATGTATTTACAAGTAAGGTAGCATTCCACGTAACGTTCATTTATGATTTTTAATAGCATTTAATGAACTCTACATCAACTTAAATGTCTGTATTTTGTTATGATTCTACATACTCAGACAGTGGAAACACTTGTTTTGTAAGTTTGATTTTCTTTCTCTATATGTCATGATTTATACCTATCCAACTCAATCTGTTCATAAAATTTTCGTTTAATATTATTTTATTTTTTGCTATGAAAATAATATTTATTTATTATGTTTGTAAGATGTACATGATTGGAGATACTTATAGCTATAACCTTGAACAACCTTTGACAGTTGTCAAATTTTGTGAACTTTCATTTACTGAATTTTTATACAGTATTATCTTTCTGACATATCTTCATTAGCGAAAAAACATCTGCATTTTGTCTGTACCTTCAAAATGTAGATGTTTTGGAAATAATTGAAAATAAGCTAGAAAGAGACTACACCCACCAATACTTTCTATATTTGTTATAGCTTGATCATGTTGATTTGTAGTTTGCATGCCTTACTATATACATTTCCAAATATATATTTTCTTAATTAGATTCTTTGCAGATTAGAAAACAGCTCAGTTAATTTAAAATAAATCTACCAGGACAACAAGGACTCCACGGATTATGACATACTTCTGTAACAGGTGCAAATCAACTGTTTTGTTTCAAGAATTATCAGTGATTAAGATGAATTTGTGTCAAGTCACCAGACATTCACAAATATAACAAATATATGACATGAATTTCATTTTTGAAAATTGAAAATGAGTTTCAAGAACTACAACTCTTCACACATATGAATATACCGCGCCTCATGAAATAATTCGGAGTGAAGTGTTGTATAATTCAGGTTCTCGTGAATTCTCAAATCTTAAGAGACTATCTTAGAATACTGAATACATACCAGTGAAAATAAGTACACAAAATTTAACATTTTAGATAAAATATTAGGTTTTTTGTCTATGTTGTATCTATTTTTAACCGCATTTGCTAAAGCTAAAAAGAGAAATTAGGGGTATAGATCCCCATGTTGTTTGAAAAATACTGTAAAACACATACTAGTCATTTTAAGATGCAAATAACAGGTAATAAAATTGAAATCTGCAGGTATGCTCATGAATTTTCATAAGATACAATTTTTTTGTCATAAGACATATCTTGGAATTTAAGATAAGCCTTGACATGTAAAACTAAAGTAAACTATGAATATCTTAAATTAGTTTGAAAGTTCCATCCTATGCATTTTTTGAAAAACAAACATCACTTGTAATTATTTTGTATTTGCAATTCCATAATGTGAGCTAAAACATTTAAATAATCTAAAACTGCGATTTAAAAAAGTCTTTTTGGAAGTAATCTGATTTAAATTAATTGATAAGAATTCCAAGTAGACTATACATGACATAGTACGACACAGTTATACAGACCTCTCCATTTACTTTCGTAATGTCTAATTCATTTTGAACCGCCCTTCTTAACATTATTAATTTTAAGTACATAAATATAGACCCTGTATTATGATAGCCTTATAACTTATTACTTAGAAAATACGAGGGAGAGACGTAAATATATGGTGTTTTCTGTTGAACATAGAGAAAAGCTATAAAATCGTAGGCATGTAAAATTATCAGACCGAGGAGAGTAAGGATATTGGGCTGTCATGTTAATTTATAATTTATTGCCGTTGCTCGTTCAAAGTATACTCTCCTCTCCACCTCTCTCAATTTTGGAAAAAATCCTTTGTACTTTTATTTTTGAACGATTTAACTCCTATCAATTCAACTTTCCCCCATCACCCAGTCTAAATTCCTATATATGTCCAAAACAGTTTTTCATATCTACAAACCAAGCAACTGTATCCATCTCCATATAATAGGCGAGTAATTAAATGTTACTTTAAAAAAATACAGTGTATCAATTCATAGGTTTCAGATACCGTAGTTGTGTAGGGCCCATAAAAATGAAGTACAACTTCCCTTTCCCACCATCACAGGTCAATATTATGTTTTCTTTTGATTTTTTTCGTATGTCTTCAGCTGAGCGGTAACCTGTCTCTCCTCCTTTGATTTTAAAGTTGGATGTTTTATTGAAAAAAATAAATGTCCCTCATTTCGAGATATCAAATTCCTGAATCCGCCGTTGTCCTATTTATTGACTTGTTTTCATAATTTCATTCGTGCATACGTATTAACGATAATATACTGACAGTAGGTAGTGTCATTGAAGTGTAAAATTTGGCAATTGCGATTTCCATTTTGCATGGTAATTGCAGTTTACAAGCTTTTAATGGATACCGTTTAAAATACTAAGAAAAAAAATCAGTCGTATTGTGAACATGCTAAACCTTATATTAAAACATAAACTTCTCTATACCTGATGGCACAATTTGAGAAGAGCATAGGCGTGAGAAAAAATTCCTATCAATTGAATTCTCCAAATAATATATTCAACTTGGTAAAAAAAAACGACAGGAGAAAAAAGTTTGTTTTTCTTGTAAATAAACGTAAATGCATGATTTCGATATGCATGAGTAAAGTTTTTGAAAAATCCATTTATTAAAAAGTAAATCATCTCAACACATAAATTTGTAATGTAACTCTTAGGTACGATAACATACAGCGCTGTATGCATAGCATACTTGTTTTGAGGGAACCTAATTTAAACTGCTTGATTTCTTCCTTCAAACAATTATTATTATTAATAAGACATGGACAAGTCCTTGACTGTTTTTTCCCCTCAGAAATGTTATGCACACCGAAGGATCATATATAAGTGCTAAATAATAGCATTATATTTATCATGTGACGCTTGTCATAATCTACTGATTTTTGTAAAAGTCTATAACATATTTTGAGCTTTGGGGTTTTTAGCCAGTACATGTATTATTTCCACTCGGAGCTCCTCGAATCACTCGTACCTATAGTATCCAAGGCCTTCCGAGAGCAATTTGTAAATGTAAACAAAACAGCAAAAACAAGTTCGGTTCGCTTCTAATTAACTTATTTCACTATCATATCATTAGTTGCTACTAAGTACATCTCAATTTTCAGGATAATATTTTTTTCTCCAAGTCCAAAAAGCACTTTTTGTTAGTGTTTAGAGCTTCCTTAATGCTATATCAGGACTCAGGGGCGGATCCATAGTTAAAACACTGTTAAGTTTACATTTAGGCTGTTTACTCGACTAATGGTATTTTGTTAGCAAGTAAGATTATATTTACATATATCAGCTTCTGATTGTACATTCTGACAATTCTGTACATTCTGATTGTACACACAAATACTCTGAAGTTGATATTAAAAGATGTTTGAGTTTCTGATTTACAATATCTGTGTAGTTTTTGGAGACCAGGTCTTTCAACAATCTATTGGAATTCCCATAGGTACCAATTGTGCCCCTTGTATTCATATGAAGAAGAATTTGTCCAAAATCGTATACAAGAAAAGAAGAAAACACTTGCTGTGGCCTTCAACTCGATATTAAGATAAAGAGTCAGTTAATGATTGTTATTTCCATTCATACATCGTTAGGATATATATCTCAATTAGCTTGAAATAAAAGATACCAAAAAGTCTGACACATCTGTTGTAAAGGTATTGAATATTTACATGTACTTGAAAAAGACGTCAACAGTAATCTAAACTTTATGATAAACGTGATGACTTTAACTTTTCATTCTTCAACTTCCCTTACTTATGTAGCAATGTACCTTCATCACAAGGATATGCATGGGGCTTATATCTCTCAATGCAATCGATACGCAAGTGCATGCTCTAGTATCTACAATTTCTAATGACAAACAAGTTAATGATAAAAGAATATAAGCGGTCTCGTTAAAAGTCATCATTTCGGAAGTTTTTTGGTTAATACAATAACACTGTCAACAAATACAGTTTATGAAAGAGCCAAATACTTGGTGACGTTTTTTCATATTACCGGTAATTGTTACCTAGGCCATTATTTACACGTTGGATTGTCGACGGATTTTTCCGCTATTTCCCGATCATGACAAGGAGCACATGTCGGGTGTGAGTAGTCAACATTTGATGCTCACTCCTCCATAGCACCGGACCCACCCCTAATGTTTTGGAGGTCTGTGTTTGCTCTGTTCCTATTATGTATTTTTCAATGGAATTTAGCTTGAATACTGTTCGTTACCTGAATACACTTCATTGACAATATCTATGTCGTTTTTTAGGATTTTTTTTTCAAAACAATGTCTGAATTCCAAAGGTTAATTGTGTCCCATTATTAGCAGACGAATTTTTGTATTTTTTAAGATGAATTTGATATATCATTGTGATGCATAATCCAAAAAATAAAGCTTTTATAGGCAGAGATTTTTTACCAAGTAGTAAAATCCAGGTGAGGGAGGGGCTTATTTTGTACAGGTGTAAATGCTTTTGGGGCTAGCAGTCTACCTGTGGCCATCTGTCTCCTAATCCATATACACGGGAAGTGATTTTTAAAAAAATACACAGTGAAATACCCCGATGTCAAACTTTACCAGTGTTGGGTATTTTGAGACAATTTTAAAATTAGTAGTAAAAAGGTTTTTCAATTATAGACCGAATATTATTTTACTATTTGAAAACACCCCTAACACTATCCATTTAAAAATATTATGATATCATACTATAAATTCAAATATTAAAACAAAGATTGTTTTAGATGTAATTAAATGTATTAATTTGAAGAAAACAACTCTTGTAACAACCAAATTAGACTTAAATTTAATTCATTCATCCCCTGGATCCCATCTTTTAATTATTAAATGAAAAGAGAGCTGTGTGAACTACATTTCACAAAAAAAATATCTGTACTGTATAGGTCTATCTTAACCTTAATAAGGCTTTATCACCATGAAACATGCTAAAAATGATGTAAATTCTCATCCGAATAAAAAAAGAAAACGTAAGTGACCCATGATTAGAAACATTTTTAAAAAAAATTAATTACTTCACACAGTGCTGTTCTGAACTTTAATTATCAATAACATTTCCACTTTAAGTTTACCAATTAGCATATTAAAAATAATATCGAAATTTCATTGGAAAAAAGTTTTATGTACCAAAGTTTTTTTTGTTTTAAAAATGCATATTATATTATTATCCTTTCAAATACTAAAGGTATATTTAATTCATATATTAGCAATCTAAAAAAATTCATAGTAGTACAGTTATTCTGTATACCAATACATGTACCATGTTCAGTAAATATCAAAGGATCAAAAGTTAATTAGAAGGTCACCACGAGTTCCAAACAAGGTGTACAGGTTATACACAGGGACCAGTAAGTAAATGTCAATCAAGTTCCAGCATCCAATAATCGACCTTCACACACTTGATTGACAGGGCTACCCAGACCAGGTATTTTGAAGGCGGTGCTTAAAATCTCTGCCTTTAAATGCCTTAATTGATAAATAACTACAATGTTAACTGAAGCATGTCCATTTCATAGAAAACGTGAAAATGTTATCCATACTAATTAAGAGGGATAAATTTCTCATTTTTTCTTTGCATTTTTGTTCTTTATGTTTGTACTAATTAGAAAATCAGAAAAAATGTATACTGTATGCGGCATTTGATCCCAGAAGAGTATGATAAAATAGATAGTATGGTGTCTGCAGGGGGTTCCTTTGGAAAGATTTGAAAAAAATTAAAACAATGAAATTAATATTTATTCTTCTAATGAAAGAATGTTGCAAATAGATAAGTAAACATAAAAATGTTCACTCTAGATAGATAATCCATCAAGTAAACACCACAACACATTTCCAATGTCGTTCCACAAAATTGGGGCAACCGGAAGTTGAGAGGACTGGGTATGGGCACCAATGCATTGGATGACTAGCAGGTGATATAATAGTCAATCACTGATAATTATTTGATATTTTACGGGAGACTGTTTCTGGTTTAAACTCAGGGACCGTCATCGGTAATTAGCAACGTTTATATCTAGGCAAGAAAGGATAATAAACATTAGAAATTCAGATGCTGACTAGCGTTTTTATAGCGTTTTTATTACTAATTGTTAGGTCATTATTAACAAATTGAATTATTGACAATTTTTTTCGCCATTTCCCGATAATGACAAGAAGAACAAAGCGAGTGTGACCGTCGGAAGGGAATGCTCACTCCTCTAAGGAACCTGATACCATCTGTGATGTTTTGGAATTGTTTTTTGGGGTCTATGTTTGTTCTGATTCCGATTGGTACTATTTCAATGAATTTTTTAACTTGATTCCTGTTTATTATTTCCCTATTTTAAGATAATTAAGTTTTAAAGCTTATTTATAGATTACCTTTCACCATCTCTGATATCATATAACTCAAATATTATAAAAAACCTTAAAGTGTAAGATTCCTGGGGTTATATTGTGCTCAGACACGGCTGTACGCGGTCAATTTAGCATGAATTTCTTAGACAGTAGTTATTTATTTACAGATTATGTAAATAATTATATAAGGATTGCTTTAATTTTTGTATTCTTATTACTGTAGAGGGATTCGTGACGACATTGTATATGTTGTAATGCAAAGACAAGAGTTAACTTTGGTCCCTTTGTTTTATATACATGTATGTATATCAAAAGATAACCTCTAGTAATCCTCTAATATCATTCCACAAATATTGGTTAATTTGAAATACCTTCTTTGGCAATGTAATGCTTATAGGTTAATCTATTGTTATTAAGAGATGACATATTATTGCATTTAGTCATGGGTATCGGTCTTATACAATAAACCTTTACTACACGATGCCTCTTAAGAATTTTTTAATGTAATATTTTTTTCTTTGATCGCGTAGCGCATTGATGAAAAAGTTTTCCGTCCAAATTTTTTCTTTGATACATTGATCAAAGAAAAAAATATTACATTCATTTCTTATCATTTAATTATTATTTTAAATTAATAAAATGAAAGTGTCTTTCATTTTTCTATTAAATTTACGCATCAAAAACAGTGCGCACGAATACATCACCATAACGTTAACGTTGCTGAAAATTCAAAATGGCTCTAACCATACTAAGGAAAAAACCTTCTCAAATATTGTCGTGTGATTACCAACATTCTCTGAAAGAATTTACAGTTCTTTAACACAAAAACTTACCTGTTGTGTTAACCCTCTGGGTATATTTGTCACGGTAAGTTATCTTACTTCGTAAATATAAAGGGAAGCTACTCAAATATCCTAACATTTCTCGGTCACAGAAATTTTGGATTTCATTTGCGCATCTGAATTTCAAACCGAATATGTAAATAAGTATCTCACAACCTGTCAATGCTGTAAAACCTGAAAGAGTCTGCTGCCGACTGTTCAAGAAGAAAAGAATTCCGTCCTCAGTCATGAAGTGTCGTTTTTCTCGATCATTCGTTTCCCACAATTTAACAGATTTACGGTTTTCCCCGCTTTGGTAGCATAATAAAACTTTTTTTCAGAGTTCTATTGTTTCATACCAGATATCTCAAAGTCAAACATTTAAGAAGAATATGCCGATTAAACGATTTCTTCCCTTCTTTCCCATAACTGTATTGTCGTCATGCAGACGATTTGATTTGTTTAGCAAAGGGGGATAAATGAAACGAAAGTAGAATATAAGTCAGGAACGTAACAGACAGGTCCCGAAATTCAGGAAAATATTTATTAAAGTAAAAGTATTTAATTATTCCTTCAAAAAGTAATCTGGAAGCGGGAACATACATGTAAAGACTGCCAAAGTAGTTCCGGCTGCTTAGTGCAAGCGAACTCTAGATTTTATTAAAAGAGTTATCAAAAGAAATTTTTATCCAATCAGAATCAAGTATTTTATAGAAATTAAATGATTTTTGATTCATTACTATCTTACACAGGAAAAATGTCTACATGTGTTAAACATGTGTTTGGTTTCACATGTGTTCAACACGTTTTTCACATGTAATACATGTGTGTAAATAAACACATGTAAAATATGTGTTTCATTTATATGTAAAACATATATAATATACACGTGTAATACACCTGTGAAATAATATATATGTAAAACACATGTTTTTCACCACATATGTATAACACATGTTATATATATGTAATATATGTGTGCGAAAATACAGATGAATTATACATGTTTAATTTATATGAAATATATGTGTATTCATATTCACATGTTATACACATGTTTATTTTTTTCTCGTACGTGTGGGGGATACAGCCTATTAGGTAAACTTACGCTTTAACTGTATAGTGTTATTATACATAGGCAATTTAGCCACATATTATCAACATATGCATTGCCTTTCATATGATGATCATATGAAAATCATATGTATTTACAATCGTATGAGAATTTAAAGACCCTGCATAAGAGAATCATATGAATATCAGGGGCGGGGTACAGGATTTGTGGTTGGGGTGGGGGCGTGGATAACTTTGTTGAGGCAAGGGGTCTGGGGGCCGCCTTAAAGCCCCCAATGGGTCCAGGGCGAAGCCCTGGTGGGGGCCCGGGTGGCGACGCCCCCTGAAGTTCCTGGGTTTTCGTGTATTTTAGAGTAAAATCAGGCACAATAATAGTGCATATTTTTCAATTATGTTTGTTAAAATTGGCATATAGGTCCGGATGTTTGAATAATAATTCATTGCATTGAATGTTTCTCAATTTTCATTGTATTGTAACACATGCCACTATAATAAACGATTTACTTTCTTATTACTTACAAATAGTGGTATTGGTTAGTGTTGTTCCAAAGTACGATGTGTTTAATACTAGTCATATCATACTTTGAATGGTGGGGCCCAGGGGGCGCAGCCCCCGGAAGCTCCAGGATTTTTGTGTATTTTAAGAGTAAAACCAGGCAGAATAACAGTGGTTTGGTTAGTTTTGTACCAAAATGTGGCATACTAAATAATAGTCACATCATACTTTGAAAATGTTAGGGGGGCGTGCGCCCCCCCACGCCCCCTTTAAATCCGCCAGTGGTTATATGTGTGTAATTCACCACTAACATAACAACAGACAAAAATTTGACTCAGAAACGTGTTTACTCAGGTTATGAATTCATAAAGGGCATGAGTTTTTTCAATGCAGAAATGCTTGAAATCTTATAACACCAATAAAAGGCTTTTCATCGCAAAAAGTAAGCAGCAAACCAGAAAGAATTACAGTTTTTGGAGATAGTCAAAAATAAGAATTAGTCGATGAAGTGTCAATACCGGGTATGGCCTTCCCTTGAATGACGGCATGACAACATCGAGCCATGCTGTCAATAGGCACCCGGATGTTTCCAATGGAAAAGTTATTCTACTCTTTCACGAGGGCGTTTTCGAGCTCTGCCGAAGTCGTACGTTGTGCTCTGAGGCGTGAAAGGGCAACCTGCAGCATGTTCCTTACATGCTCAATCGGGTTCAAGTCCGGCGAGCGCGCTGGCAAGTCCATACGGACAATTGTCTCCTGCTGAAGATACTGCTCCACCACCCTGGGGCAATGTGGACGGGCGTTATCATCCATTAGGATGAACTCAGGGCCAACAGCACCAGTGTAGGGTCTGACGTAAACATCACATCCTGGTACCGCACCCCCCGTCATTGTTCCTCACTCCAAGACATGATGATCTGTTCTTCCATCCTGCTGATTCTACCCCAGACCATGTTGGAACCACCACTATAACGGTCATGTTCCCTGATGTTGGTATCATAGAAACGTTCACGTTGTCTTCGCCACACTCGATGTTTTCTGACTGTGATGTCCAAACATTACCTGGACTCATCGGTGAACAGAACTGTTACCCAATCGTTTTGTGTCCAAATGACATGATCCTCAGCCCGGTCCAATCGCTCCCGCCTGTGTCGAACAATCAGAAGGACACTAGTACATGCCCTTCTCGAGATGTAACCTGCATTGTGAAGCCGATTACGTAACGTCTGAGTGGACACATTTACCCCCGAGGCATTCATGAGGTCATTACGTAGGCTTGTTGCTGTCCAGAAGGGATGGCGTTGTGCCTGAAGAGCCACAAAATGGTCTTGGTGTTGAGTTGTCGACCTCTGACGACGATCACCCCCATGTCGATGTGCTGCTGTACCAAAAGTTTGCTGTCGGTGCCAGGCCCGGTTTACATCGCTTTGGCTGACGTTTAGTGCATTTGCAACGTCACGTTGTGAATAGCCAGCGTCAAGCATTCCAATACATCTGAGTAGTATAAGGCGTCTAGATAGGGGGGTCAACTGAGTGCACTTTTTATGCAAATGAGGTCAAAAATACTGGATTCTGATATTGGCTGAGGGGATAGGGAGGTCAAAGGAGTGCAGGTTGGGGGTCTGGGGGCATAGGGAGGTCAATTCAGTACAGCCCTAACCCTGGGGTTAGGTGGGTCAACTGAGTACAGCCCTAACCCTAACCCTAACCCCTAATCCTAACCCTACCCCCTAACCCTAACCCTAACCCTGGGGCTAGGTGGGTCAACTCAGTACAAAGCCCTTATATGTCCAGTAGGGCGCTTACATTATAGCTTTTTACTACGCTGCTACTACGATTCAACGTTGCTTCTACGATTTGGCAACGAGTCAAGAATGTGATTATGACGTCACGTTTTCATTCACAGTCAAAGCCTAGCCAGTTCAAACTGGATTTTCTGAAAACAATAACAACACAATACAGACAATAACAGATTTTATTCAGAATTAATACATACAGAATTACGATTCTTTTCATATAAAATTTTCTTTCATAAAAGATCTGGTTACTTTAAAAATCAGGGGATGTGTATGCAATACGTTGTTAAGACCCGGTGTCACTACAGTTTTCGATTTTGGTAAAAAACAAACGATCAAGATTTCTACATGATCTAAAAAGTAGATACGAATTGTTTTTAATCTCATGACATTCTATTTTTCTTAAAATATCAGTCAGAAAAAGGCTAGATTCCAAGAATCCTTATTTATCTCAGAGTATGATTTTCTGAAAATCCGTGACCTCTGACCCCCCATTGTGTCTATAGCTAAACCTATTTTAGCTTGATTTTTACCCTGATCATGATTCTTTTGAAATAAAAACTATATCGACACTCTTCCATAGGTCCCTTCTCCCTAACCCACATGAGTTTTCCTGATCTCACCCTTTAAAAAGACTTAAAAGACTTATTTTATACACTCGGGTCACTGGATTTCGCCTCGTCGCTTCGAGGTTTTTTACTCTTTTCTCCCCGACGGATGCATGTCATGTATCAATTCTAGTATGAAAAGAAGCAGGAAACTTACCTTGTTTAGACCTGTATCATGATGGAATCCTACTATGAATACATACTAAATAATCCATGAAAATGTATTCTTTCTCTTAGACACAACACGTTTCTTAGACATCAATTCTAGTATGAAAAGAAGCAGGAAACTTACCTTGTTTAGACCTGTATCATGATGGAATCCTACTATGAACACATACTAAATAATCCATGAAAAGGTCTAGGTCCCAAAGCACAAATCACACACAATTTCGGTTTGCCATGATATTTCGGCTCTCGCCATCGAGGTGCTCTCTTTAACGTCCGTAATTTGTGCATAAATACAGACGCTCGCCAGCAGTCGGCGTCATTCGTTAGTATCGGATCTACGACATGTATACGATGGCTCAGCAGGAAGATATTCCTAACTACTTTCTCAACAGCGGCGTATGCACAAATTACGGACGTTAAAGATAAGTTTCCTGCTTCTTTTCATACTAGAATTGATACATGACATGAATCAGTAGGGGAGAAAAGAGTAAAAAACCTCGAAGCGACGAGGCGAAATCCAGTGACCCGAGTGTATAAAATAAGCCTTTTAAGTCAGGAAAACTCATGTGGGTTAGGGAGAAGGGACCTAGGCAAGAGTGTCGATAGTTTTTATTTCAAAAGAATCATGATCAGGGTAAAAATCAAGTTAAAATAGGTTTAGCTATAGACACAATGGGGGGTCAGACGTCACGGATTTTCAGAAAATCATACTATGAGCATGTGTGTGTGTGTTGTTGTTGTTTGATGAAAAAAAAATAATAATAAATTTAAAAAAAATGTGTCTATGTGTTATATGAATTCATTAAAAAAGTTCATTCAGTATATTTTTCCTATATATTCTTTTCCATATTTATTATTTTTATTAAAAAATTCTAAGTTTTTATAAAAATATAAAAGTGACCTGATGTTAACTTGTTACACACAAAACGTTTCTTTTTTATACCCACTGTATAAGAAGGATATTCTTTTCTTAGACACAAAAGGTTTCTTATTACCATTGTATAAAAAGGTGATCTTTTCTTTTTTGACTGTATAAGAAGGGTATTCTTTTCTTAGACACAAAACGTTTCTTATTACCTCTGTATAAGAAGATATTCTTTTTCTTAGACACAACCACACGTTTCTTTGACTGTATTTTAAAAAAAGGTAATCTTTTTTCTTAGACACAAAAAGTTTCTTATTACCATTGTATAAAAAGGTAATCTTTTCTTAAACACACAACGTTTCTTTTTTTGACTGAATTTTTTAAAAAAGATAATCTTTTTTTTTCTTAGACACAAAACGTTTCTTATTACCTCTGTATAAGAAGGTATTCTTTTTCGTAGATACAACACGTTTCTTTGACTGTATTTTAAAAAAGATAATTTTTTTTCTTAGACACAAAAAGTTTCTTATTACCATTGTATAAAAAGGTAATCTTTTCTTAAACACACAACGTTTCTTTTTTTGACTGAATTTTTAAAAGGTACTCTTTTCTTAGACACAAAACGTTTCTTATTACCTCTGTATAAGAAGGTATTCTTTTTCTTAGACACAACACGTTTCTTTGACTGTATTTTAAAAAAGATAATTTTTTTTCTTAAACACAAAAAGTTTCTTATTACCATTGTATAAAAAGGTAATCTTTTCTTAAACACACAACGATTCTTTTTTGACTGTATTTTTAAAAGGTACTCTTTTCTTAGACACAAAACGTTTCTTATTTACCTCTGTATAGATGGCATCTTTTCTAAACAGTTGGGTGGCCGTGGAAACGGCCGGAGGGTGATTTTTGATAGGGTTTACTCCCTTAAGAGGTGCTGGACAATAGCCCCAACATCGCTCATTGAAAATTCTTCTCTTCCACTCAAGGGGGGGGCCTCACCGGGTCTCAGTTTCGACACAGGGGGCAGGGCTGCTGGTGACAAATAAGACGGGCCGCACAGAGGGTACAAGCTACCCTCTGCAGGCATCTCGCACAAATAAAATTGTTTACCTCTTCGTCAGACAAACATAATGTGCAAAATATGGTATCCTCTGCAACCTGGAGTCCCCAGGGAGGGAAAGACCCCTGGTGCCGGGCCTGAGATTGGGGATTGAGGGCTGGTGGCCTCACAGAATGGTCAGGGGATTCCGACGAATCTGGAATGTCTAGATTTCTACCCGCTGCTGCCAAAGGTGTTGGTGATGGGGGGCTAGAAGGAGGCGGTCTCTGATACGGTGTTGTCCTTCGCCTGCTACTTCTTCGTCTACTTCTTCTTTCTTCATTCATCCTCACCCTGCTCATGTTGATCTGCGCTAACACTCTCCCAGTGGCTATCCTCCGGACCAACATATATATTTCAATCTGGATCCCAGGTATCATATAGAGGTCCTCGTAGAAGCAATCTTGTTCATCTCTAGCAGTCATGTCTCCAAATCTGGATACTAACAGAATGACGCTGAGCTCTGGCGAGCGTCTGTATTTATGCACAAATTACGGACGTTAAAGAGAGCACCTCGATGGCGAGAGCCGAAATATCATGGCGAACCGAAATTGTGTGTGATTTGTGCTTTGGGACCTAGACCTTTTCATGGATTATTTAGTATGTGTTCATAGTAGGATTCCATCATGATACAGGTCTAAACAAGGTAAGTTTCCTGCTTCTTTTCATACTAGAATTGATACATGACATGCATCCGTCGGGAAGAAAAGAGTAAAAAACCTCGAAGCGACGAGGCGAAATCCAGTGACCCGAGTGTATAAAATAAGTCTTTTAAGTCTTTTTAAAGGGTGAGATCAGGAAAACTCATGTGGGTTAGGTAGAAGGGACCTAGGGAAGAGTGTCGATATAGTTTTTATTTCAAAAGAATCATGATCAGGGTAAAAATCAAGCTAAAAAAGCTAAACTAGGTTTAGCTATAGACACAATGGGGGGTCAGAGGTCACGGATTTTCAGAAAATAAGGATTCTTGGAATCTAGCCTTTTTCTGACTGATATTTTTAGAAGAATAGAATGTCATGAGATTAAAAACAATTCGTATCTACTTTTTAGATCATGTAGAAGACTTGATCGTTTGTTTTTTACCAAAATCGAAAACTGTAGTGACACCGGGTCTTAACAACGTATTGCATACACATCCCCTGATTTTTAAAGTAACCAGATCTTTTATGAAAGAAAATTTTATATGAAAAGAATCGTAATTCTGTATGTATTGATTCTGAATAAAATCTGTTATTGTCTGTATTGTGTTGTTATTGTTTTCAGAAAATCCAGTTTGAACTGGCTAGGCTTTGACTGTGAATGAAAACGTGACGTCATAATCACATTCTTGACTCGCTGCCAAATCGTAGTAGCAGCGTTGAATCGTAGTAGCAGCGTAGTAAAAAGCTATAGTGTAAGCGCCCTATTGGACATATAAGGGCTGTGTACTGAGTTGACCCACCTAGCCCCAGGGTTAGGGTTAGGGTTAGGGGTTAGGGTTAGGGTTAGAAATTGACCTCCCTATCCCCCCAGACCCCCAACTTGCACTCCTTTGATCTCCCTATCCCTTCAGCCAATCAGAATCCAGTATTTTTGACCTCATTTGCATAAAAAGTGCACTCAGTTGACCCCCCTATCTAAACGCCTTATACTTCTCATCTGCCCAGTTGTTCTGTTGTCAGGCGACACCTTACACGTTGAGGAGCCATTGTGTTGATAAATGTAGTGTAAACACTCAAGTGAGTTTTAAATCTTTGAAAATCGTGCAGTTGTAGTAAAAGCATAAACTGTGATGAGAAACGCATTTCACATAGCATGAAATGCATGTGCAATTAACTTGGACACAATATTGCCAGTTATGCAGTTATTATTTTTTTTAAACAGAAAAATAACTATGATTCTTATCAAATTTTGTGTTCATGTTCTTATTCACCCTATAACGATAGTCCAGCCGGGTACGTTATTACAGGTGACGTGAATATAGTTTATAATGAGAACCCTAGATTGATTGATTGTATACTGTTTATCGTCCCTCTCCAGAATATTTCACTGATATGGAGACGTCACCATTGCCGGTGAAGGGCTGCAAATTTAGGCCTATGCTCGGCACTTACGGCACTTACAGGGAGGGATCTTTATTGTGCCACATCTGCTGTGACACGGGGCCTCGGTTTATACGGTCTCATCCGAAGGACCGCCCCATTTAGTCGCCTTTTACGACAAGCAAGGGGGTACTGAGGACCTATTCTAACCCGGATCCCCACAGAACCTTAGATGACGTAAATATACGTTGTCTAGAAGGTAATAATGATGACCTTAAATTACTCTTTTTATTAAGTCCAAAAATAGGAAACCCCGATCCTTCAACTGGCGTCTGAATTTCACAGTTATAAATTATTATGGATTCTGTAGATAATTAGGCCAGACGATGGGCCAGGTATTTGACACTTAGTTAGAATGGATTAAGAGTGTAATCGCGTATTAAACGACTGAGGGGCAATATGAAAACCATCTAAACTTCTGTATTCAATAACCCAGAAGTGAAAAAAGAATCACATGACCAATACGTACTCGTCCCTGCTGACAAAGCAGGCAACAACATTTTCTTCATTTGTAAGGATCATTATATAAAATGTATTTTAGGGGAACTTGGATTCAATTCTACAAGTGGTAGTCCATCTTCGTTATACTCGAAGTCACCTTTGTAAGGAAAAAAAATTTCAAATGCTAGTTTTTATTTGTAATATTCCAAAGAACCAAAATGAATTTGAATTACCATAATTATCTATATTGGCTTTCGAAAATTCATAAAAAAATACTTACAAACATACATATCGAGTGCCAGTAAATGTTCAACCAGGCCTCTTTCTTTACACCTCAGTAACAGTTGTGGATATTTAAAAATTCCAATTAACCTTTGGAAAATTTGAAATCACACGATTTCACCAAAATCAACAACTTAAAAACTTACGACTTTTCAACTTTATACATAACCATTCTCCACAATAAATCGAATTCCAGGCTTTTTAAAACCATTGACGTCTGTTCTTTAATACCAGTGGAACGCATAAATTTACTTACCTTATCATTGGTCAAAAAACAATTCTGATTATAACAGAAGTACTCTGAAATTGACATTAAAAGATGCTTAAGTTTCTAATTGACAATATCTATATTATTTTGGAAACCGTGCCTGCCAACAATCTTTTTGAATTACCATGGATACCAATTGTGCCCCGTTATTAGCAGTCCTATTTTTGTATTCATATGAAGCAGAATTTGTCCAAAATCTTATCCGAGAAAAGAAGAAAACACTTCCTGTGTTGCCTTCAACTAGACATTAAGATATATCGACGATGTATTGTCAATTAACAATGGTTATTTCCATTTTCATGTCGATACGATATATCACGGTGAGCTTGAGATACAAGATAACAGAGTCTGACACATCTGTTTCCAATATGGATATTTTACTTTAAAAAGACCTAAATGCTAATCTCCATATACTAAAGAAGTGGATTACATGACGGTGTTTTTAGTTTCACTATGTTCACGATTTAAGAATTTTCCGCGACCTTTAAACCATCGTGATTATAATTTCACTTCATTTCTACCTAAAAACAGACAAAGCACCTGAATATCTACAACGATTCCTCGTAAAATTAAAACCACCGTGAAAGGTAATTTTCTAACAAACTTTTTTAGACACGTGGAATTAAAGACGTCTACAGTATTTTATTTTATCATTTTATAAACAGTAATTGTGGTCACCTTACAATATCATTACACAAATGTAAATTAACTCTGAACATTTTCTTTAGATAACGCTTAGACAATGTTACCTCAGGTCACACTAGGATTTATTATAATTACATGTAATATTCATTCTATTAAAATGATAACCTTTTACTGATTATTGAAACAAAATAAGATTCGGGAAATATGTGGAGAAGGATATGGAGATAACGAACAGTATTCAATCTCAAAGTCCATAAAAGCAATATAAAATAAGAGCAGAGCAAACACGGACCCCCGAAACATCAGAGATGGGATCAGGTGCCATGGAGGAGTGAGCATCCCCTGCCGACCGGTCACACCCACCGTGTGCTCCTTGTCATGATCAGGAAATAACGGGAAAAATCCGTCGTCAATTCAGTGTATAAATAATGGGCTAAAAATTGGTATGAAAGACGTCAGTCAGCATTTGACTCAATGATAAACTGTATTTGCTAACAATGTCATTGTATCGACCATAGAACTTACGAAATGATGACTTTAAAGGAGACTGCTGATATTCTTGTTTCGTCAACTTGCTTGTCAATAATTTACCTCGTTTTAAAAATTGTTCATACATGTATGTAGAGCATACTCTTGCGTATCGAATCAACTGAGATACATATTCTCCGTATGCAGGTCGCGAAAAGTATTCGAGTCCACAGAACATTAAAAAACAGGAGCGGTGCAAATACGGACCCAAAAACATGAGAGGTGGGATCAAGCTTAAGTTCCAAGGAGGAGTGAGAATCTCCTGCACACCCGTCACACTAGCCGTGTGCTCCTTGTCATGATCAGGAAATAACGGTCATGACCATTACATTTAAATTTTGCTACCCGAATTGATTGAAAAATGAATGTCATACAAAGTTTGGATTATATTGTTCAGTGGACTTACTTCATTATCATTTTGTAAAAAGCATAAGTTAAGTTTTAGTGAAATGGTTGGATATTTATTTATAAATATACCGTATATACTTGCCTATAAGTCGGTATTTTGGGAGTTAAAGTTTGGTCAAAAACTCTATGTCCGACTTATAGGCGAGTCATAAGGAGACTTTTTTTCTGGACTGTGAAATGTAGTATTTTATATATATTTCTGATGACTATTGAAGAACAAAGTCTGGATTACATAGAAACATATATGTATTCAAAGATGATACATAAATTACAAATATTTTCTAACTTTAATGGTTTTATTTTTATCTCAAGCGTGGATTGCTTATTTGTTTAATGATTTAAAATTAAATACTGGAATCATTTCGAGATATATTAATTAAAACTAGGTCAAAAAATCATTGCGTTGATTTAAAAATCCTTAGCCGATTCTGGCAAAAAGTTGCATCGACGTATAAGCGAGTCAATGGCAAATCCCTTCAAAATTACTCCAAAAAATACAACCGACTTATAGGCGAGTATATACGGTATATATTTTACTTATATAAATATATTTATTTAAAATGAATTTAGTGAATGTATGTCTCTTAAGTTTTATGAAATTATGTACCTTGCATGAATTTCTTGGAGGAAAATGGTTAAATAAGTTACTATTAATATTGGTATAATCGCAGAGGCTGTCATAAAAAATTAAAGAATTGGGATATTGTTAGTATCTGTTTCCTCTTCTCTGTTACAATAGGAAAAGATGTTGATGATGTTAATCATAGTCATAATCAAAATCAAAGCTCCTCCAACTGCAACCACAAGTCCTCTCACCAGAGGATTAAAAACCTTCTCTCCATTATTGACCATCCCTGTACCATTAATCGTTGTGTTAATGTTACCTGGAATATGTATATAATAATGATCATTCTAAATGGCAAATTGAAACAATAACTAAATTAAGTGCTTGCGTATCTTGTTTTGTAACTTCATTTAAAAAATATATAAAATCTAACAATGATCAGCTATGAAGTAACTATATGACATGCCCTGCTTTTTCCCGCAATGAAAAAAAAACCATAGATAAATATATGACCGTGATACAATCTGAGAAATTTTTTTTTTTATCTCTTAAATGAATAATTGAATTGAAAATATTAGATATATTTTATAAATGCATGTTTCTTACATAGAAATATATAGGAAAATTCTTTAAAAATCATCTTCTCAAGAATTGCAAAGCCATAATTGATCATATGCATATGAAAGCATCATCAGGTTGTTTAGATTCAAGTTTGTTCAAATCATGACCTCCAGGGGTAGGGCAGGGCCACAATGGCCGACCAAGGTTTTACATAGAAATATATAGGAAAATTCTTTAAGAATCATCTTCTCAAGAATAGCAAATCCATGATTGGTCATGGGACTACTTTTTAATATTTGGATTTTAATAGTGTTGGCACGAGTACCCGGTTAATCGTCGAACGATGCGAGTATCGGTTAGTAAAACTGCTATTCGGTTACTCGGAAAAAAATACATCTCATAAAGTAAATAACTAAAAAATAAAATGTTAATTTGTCTTTAAGCGTATACATAAACATTTCTCTAAATTTATTATTTACCGTTAGATTTAATGATCTAGTGTTTCACTAATACGATCAATTCGTTTTGATTAGTTTTCATAATTAATTGCAATTGATAGCTTTGATTGCCAGCAGGTTATACAAGTTTTGAAGACTTGAGTTATAATTACCTTATTAAAAACTTGAACAAGATGCCGCCAAAGACATATATAGCTTGGAAGTATTTAAAAGAACAGCTGATTTGATACCTGTAAAATGTAATTTATGTGAAATGGAGTTTAACGTGTCCGGTTGTGACTTCAAATATCTAGATAATTATTCTCCTTGATCATGACATAATAATATCGGGAGTCAAAACGTAAAAGGTGATGAACGGCATTGTAAAATAGCGAGAAACATTAAGCATTTTTAATTTTAATTGATTTAATTAATTTTCTAATTATAAATTCACGTATCAAAATTCTTTCAAGATAGTGCGTGCGTGGGTATCTTTAAGAATTCACAATATATTTGTGTTTTAATACTTCCGATGAGTAAAGGATGAGATAAATGATAGATATGAATATGAATAAATCATCCGAGTAACCGGGTACTCGATCAGAAGATTGAGCGAGTAACCGGTTACTAAAAATCGTCCGATTTGCCAACACTAGATTTAAACTTTTCAAAAATAAACCAATTTCTACTTTTTCCTAGCCACAGTGCTCAGGTGAGCGATGTGGCCCATGGGCCTCTTGTTTTTTATAGTATTGAATGGAATACAGTTTCAAAATATAGCTCAAAAATGCATAAATTTCACTCAAAATTCATAAACTAGAAGTTCAAGTATCTAATGTATTTCTGAATTTTTCAACACTGATGACAAAGAGTGCAAATACCACAAAACTCGTAGAAAATATGGTGTGAAAAAATGAATAATTTATTATTTGTGTGAAAGACGTCAGTTAACATATTCGACCAAATAACAGAATGTACCGATTGTTGTTCCGGGAGCCTCATCACTGCTAAGATGCAAATGAAATGTTATTTTTTCTCTGAATAGCATGCGGTAGGACAATTGACCTTTAAGAAAACCAAGGCCCGGCCCCAATACCATAAACTGAGAATAGACTTAATTCAAAATTTAGACTTTGAATACCATATAAGTGGAAATTTTAGCCAGACGCAAATTTAGCGATTTGTCCTTAAAAATGGGTATCTTATTTTTAGTGATGTAATTTTAACGATTTTAAAATGCTAACTAAAGAAACTATTACAAATAAAACGCAATTAATTTTAGCGATATTCAATTTTAGCGATCTCAACAACTTCGCTAATAATGCCAAAATAAAATCCTCGCTGAAAATTCTGCTTATACTTATATTAATTATCATTTAACCACCATCCTAAAAAACTTGCAAGTTTGTAAAATATGTTAATAAACACAACGTGAAAATTTGGTTTTATTTTGAAAATTTTACTTGGATTGGGTCAGTTTACGTTGTTTTATAATCCGCTTCGCAAATTATGTCTGTTCTAGATTTATGATCTTGGGGCCCGGTATGCCTTGGCATGATGATAAATACTGAGTAATCCTTATTGCTCAATGGCCCTGAATGCATGACACTTGTTAACACTAAAGTAGAGAATGCAAAAACCCAAAGTTTTCAACTATGTCGGACCCGTTTCCTCCATGAGTATTTATTTAAAAAAACATAAACAGAGAATATAGAGCCCATCTGAACAAATGTTGTCTTTAAGCAAGGCAAAGTCCCATGTTAAATTAATAATCTAGAAGTGAACATCCCAGAATCACATATATGGAAAATCAAGATTCACGCCTGATCCAGCATCTGAAGCAAACAAGATGAAATGCGTCCTTAGATGTATCAGCCATGCAAGTTTGGTCAACATAAGGTTTATAGCTCTTTGGGAACGAGACCAGAAACTTTAACTAGCTTCAAAAACATATAAACCAGGTCATTCCTAGCTGAAAACTTGACTGGTTAAGTGAAACACACTAAAAGCATCTTGCGTGCATATCTAATCAATGTAGGGCATGGAAGTACTTAAAAAGAGAACTGTTCCAAAACCCCAACCTGGGACGCCGACACCGACGCCAAGGGCAATACGTACCCGGTAAGCCCTCCCCCCCAACTTTGTTGAGGTTAGCAAAAAATTAATGATTTAGTATACGTAGTGTCCGAAGGTATAAAAGAAAACAACTAAGAAATATTTTATTTTCTTTAGGGGGAGAGGGACAGAACTCTTCGTTGTACTTAAAAGTTTGATGTAGAGGAAATAGAATAAACATGTATTTTTGAAAAAGTTGAATTCAGACTAAGTGTTTCCTCTTTCATTTTTAACTGATCAATTTTTCCTCACCTTTGGATTCATTTATTTGTAATAAAGTACTGGCGGCTTTCTCTGATGTAATTATGATCGTACCTAAGGTAAAATACGTATAGGGTAATTAATTTTTTTCATTCAACAAGATGTGTTTGTGAAACACTATGCGCCCGGCGGCAACAAAGTTCGGAAAAAGCTATTTTAGCATTAAGGTCACAGTCAAGGTCACAAGGTCATTGACCTTGGTGTCATTTGAAAGAACCTGATTAGTGGAGTTTGCATACCAAATATGAAGTCTCTATCTTTCATGGTTCAAAAGTTTTGGCGAAGGTTAAAGTTTGCTGAAAAAACTATTTTTAGCATATAGGCCACAGTCAAGGTCACAGAGTCATTGACCTTGATGTTATTTGAAAGAGCTTAATTAGTGGAGTATGCATACCAAATATGAAGTCTCTATCTTTCATGGTTCAACAGTTATGGTGAAGGTTAAAGCTCGGGACATACAAACAAACAGACAGACAGACAGGACAAAAACAATATACACCCTGGATCTATTGATCCGGGCGCATAAAAAGAAAAATAAATAGGGAAAGGAAAATTCTAGCAAAGCATTTTGAAGATCAAGGAAGAAACTCACTACTTAGCAAGCATCCGTGTACATAATCACAATCATTTTTACTACAGTTACAAATAGGATTACATCTTGGACCGTATGATGGGTAATTGCAGGGGACATTGCATTCCACACCATAGTATCCAGGTGGACATTCTATAAAATACAAGCAAGTCTAAAGTAATTTTTATATAAAATGAAAGGGTTTTGTACAATTTAAACAATATTTATGTATAAAAGAATGATTATATCAAACTATAAATATATAGACGAATTCTTTTTGAAAATGTAGTCAGTACATTGTATGAAATGGAAACACTCTCAAACACTTACCCTTTGAAAATGATAAAAAAAATAAATTATGAACGTCAAGAGGTTGCCTGAACACAGTATTAAAACTCAATGTACCTATACAATCAGTTCCGTTATAATAGTAAAACGGGCAACATACTGGTACATCGCCTGGCCTGAAAGATAATTAAGATAAAATATTATGAGTCATTTTGGGGTTTTCTAATATTGTTGAATTTAATTATGTTAATCGCATTTTTGTTTGTTTGTTTTTTTTTTTGCTTGTAGTTTAACATACGTACTTCTCGAGAAGAACCTCTCGGTGGAGATCGAGCTGCAAATTTTGACCTACACTCGGTACTAAGGGCCATAAATCAGTGAAGAATCGTTTTCGTGCAGCACCTACTGTGACACGGGGCCTCGGTTTATCCGGTCTCAGCCGAAGCATCCGTCTCCACCTCCCAAAATGGTATTCGAACCCGCGACGCAAAGATTAACTCCTCACTCAGCAACTTAAGCAGACGCTCTATCACTGTGCTAAGCGCGTTTTAAAAAAAAAAATTTAGAAAGCGATTGCGCCATAAAACGAAAATAATGACACGTTTCAAGGGGTGCGGTTCAATGATACGATATTTTATGTGTTGAAGATTGTATAAAAGGTAAAAAAAAAAAAAAAAAAAAAAATTAAAAAACGAAGTTTCTAAAATTGACTTGGGGTGATAATTGACTGAAAATAAATTTTCTTTAAAAAAAAATCAAAAGTGATTTCATATTTTGAATTGTATCGATGAAATTTAGTAACAGCATATTTCATTTATTGGTCATTAAATTAGTGGATTTTTTGGAAGTTAGATAAAAACGTTATTTGGAAACAACTCTTTTATGTTAAGATGTACGAGGGGCGTTCAATAAATAATGTCATTGGGGCTCGGAAAGAAACAAAAACGCTTTTCTATGACTTAGTCTTAATGATTTAACTAAAATATTCTCTTTCAATTAAAACGCATATCCGTAACATTTTCATTCAATTTCTAATTGTTTTTTGAACACATTTTTGAGTATGACCCTTCGTACACTGGAAGATGGCAGATCCTATGATTTGATATACTTGTTTTTTCCTTTCTGATAGAGGTTTTTCTAAGTTTAGGAAATGAAACAAGTCAAAGGTTGAAAGATCTGGTAAATTTTATTGGTGTGTCAAAACATTTACCTTCTGTTTATCCCCAAAACTCCATTACTCTTCATGGCCTGTGGGTTTGGCCGCCGTCATGAAGACATTTAATGTAGTGTACTTCTCATTCTGTTTCCTTCCTCTTATATACCTTTCAATTTTTTGCAAAAAAATGTTTTCTAGACTCCTCCAGATATTTGAACTTCCTCCCCGAATTTGAATTTGAACAACAAGACCGCTAATATATCAGAAAATAGCATATAAATTTTACACAAACATGGATAAGAACAATTTTTGATTGTTTAAAAGAATTGTTTGGATATGCCTACACGCTGTCGTTTTCACTAATTTTTCAAAATATAGAGTGACCTTTGAGTATTAAACTGTTTATTTAAAACAGTATGAACTATCCCCAAAATGATTTTTATGAATTTTGCTATGTGTCTTAAAGTCAATAAAACATAATCAGTGATAATTTGTTAAAATTTCGCAAATTTATATCGGTTGTTGTAAGTCATTATTGCCAAGGACAGTACCCATTTTTGATGTCCATTATATAATTTTTGTTTATTGAAATCTACATGTTCACCTGTCTATTAAACAGGCATTGGTTGCTGTTACTTTCACATATTTCAGTTAATATAGTTTTGGGATATTAACAAGTTTTACAGCTCTTTTAATGAAGCGTTTAATTTTACTCTAGTTAACTTATTCTTGACCATTCATTTTTAATGCAGTGTCTCGAATAGCCCTTGTTTTCAAGCTTCCTACGATGAAATAGTGCGATGAAAACTGGTCACACAAACTGTTATCAATTCATTAAAGATTCAATAATGAGAGAAAATCAAGCTTTATGTCATATGACTACTATGTTGTATGCCATCGAGCTAATGACATTATTGATTGAACGTCCCTCGTATGAATATAGCTGCATTTTCTCTGACAATTCATATGGCCTTTTTCTTACTTGGTTACACAGGGTTTTAATCTACTGTACCCAAGTATAACATGTGTAACCATAATTATACACCTGAGCTTCAGTTCCGTTTCTGATATTTTATCATAGAAAATGTTAGCCTCTTAACCCTTGTATCCATTTCTCATAGTGTTGTAACCTGCTGTACCAAATAACATTCTGTGTAACTACTGTACCCCTGAGCATCTGCTCAATTATTTGGAGTTTTAACTTCTAGAGAATTTCAGTCTTCTAAACCCCTAGATATCCATTTCGTATAGTGTTGTAACCTGCTGTACCCAAGTGTACCTGTGTAACCACTGTAGCCTGATGATCTGCTCAATTATTTGGAATTTAAACAAAGAAAAAAAAAATAGTATTCTTAACCATTATATCCATTTCTCATAGTGTTGTATTCCGCTACATACCCAAGTGTACCATACGTGTAACCACTGCACATCTAGCCTCTGCTTTGTTTCTGAAATTTTGGACCTGTTTTTGAAGTATATCTCCGATTGATTGCTTGTTTGATGTTTAAAGACCCTCTCCAGAATTTTCCACACATATGGAGGCGCCACTACTTGCCGGTTGAGAGCTACAAATTTTGTCGTATGCTCGGTTCTTAGGGCCATTGAGCAGCGAGGGATCTTTTTCATGCCAGCACCTACTGTGACACGGGACCTCGGTTTGTACGGTCTCATCCAAAGGACCGGTCTTCATGTCCCAAAATGGGATTCGAACCCGTGACGTAAGGATAAATTCCTTACTTTCGCGACTCTAGAGCAGACGCTCTAACCACGCGCGCGACCATAGTTTTATTAGAGGATCGTTACCGGAGTTCAACCCTTGTTCGAGGCGGAAGTGGGTATCCTCCAACGATAAACTACAAGCAATAGGGTTTCTCGAGTTGAAATTATGCTGTACTGAATTTTTTTCTTTCCAGTTACTTCGGGTTCTTTAGAGATTATGAATTTATTGCCGGAAAAAACCCAGATTTTGGGTGAAGAATCGTAGGTTCATGAGAACAAGTGGAGCAAAACTAATTTAATATACCGGTATTTCAACGTTACAGTCTCTATAAAAAATACATTTCCTTTTTGGAAAATATCCACCTTATACAAACACATTTTCCCTTCCTACATAATTATATACAAAAGAGAATTTCGTTGGGTAAAATTCTCGTGGTTTAAAAAAAAAATCTTTGTTCTTGGGATTTTAATTTCGTGGATGAAGAAATGTCAAGTAGTTATGTAATATGTAACATTTTTAAATTTAGTCGTGGACATGAATTCGTGGGTCTCTTCATACCTAGAAAACAATGCAAATTTAACCTCACAAAAATTTGTGATTTCACAGTAATCAGTAACTTTGTATGGTTTAATATATAAGCTTCATAACATACAATATTCTTTAGGTTATTTCTCTTTTATTTTAGCAGTTTTTAAAGACTGAAAACAGTGTTTTCAAATGAATGTGTGTTGTATAATTCTTTGACAGAATTTTTTTTTCGCATTTTCATTCATGATTAAATTTTACTTAATTTGATTGATTGATTGTTTCAATTTTTCTCAGTTTAAATCTTGAAATCTCTATTGATTTTCTGCACTGGGTTTTTTTAAATGGTGTGTAAAGATACTTTACAGTAAAATAGAAAAGACAGAAATAATAAATGCCTAAAATATTTAGAAATATAAGTTTTTTCTTTGATACTTTTATATGCAACATTGTGGCTTTTACTATATAATTCTACATAAGATTTTAATCATATTTTTCATTGTGAAGTCCTAAAAATATCCACTTTTACCTGGCAAGCATCATTCATGTTTCTTAATTGAAAATAAATTTTTCTGAAATATTTTTTAATTTAAAAAAGTGTATATGTTATTTATCTTACCCATACGATTTATAAGATGAACACTTTGATTAATTTAATACACTTGTCATCATTTTTTCTGCATAGTTAGTTAAAACATTATTTACAATGTTTTCTTACTTGGATGGTTGTTCACATATACTTTGGCTGCTTCCAGGGTACAAAGATTCAAAAAAGCCAAAAATAATTAAACAAACTGTTCTTCCAGCCATCCCAATCCGGAAGTGTTCTGCCTTGTTGTTTCGCTGTATATGTGATCAATTTAACACGGAAAATAATAATTCACATAGTTGAAGTGATAAAAATATCAGTTAACATTCTATTTCTATTTAAAGGTGTTCAAATGCATCGCTGTAAATTTATATAAAAACGCAGTGTCTAAACAATAATTTTTGTTTGAATGTGTCTACCATTTTAAAAACGGCGTACTTGTATAATGGTAACATAAAAAGGTTTAATTCTTTTATATCATTGCATTCTCAATATATGTCATGAAATAAATTTTGTAAATCGAGAAGAAATGAACAGGAGGTTCAATCATTTAAAACAAAGTCTATACATGTATACAAAAGAAAGACGAAGTACGTGTTATTGTACTTGGAATTAACATGATTAATGAAACTAATTGTATTTGTCCTTGTGTTAAAATTCATATCAGTATGATTATAAATAATTATTACTGAAGAAAAATGTTACAGACATGGGGATTTACATACAAAATGTCGCGCTTCCTCTTAAATTTCACGTGCGAAACATCTGATCCAATCATGGCATCAATTACGTCTCCAAACCACAAGTTATGTAATGTATTGATTGATTGCATAATTGTTTAACGTTCCTCTCGAGAATTTTTCACTCATATCGAGACGCCACCTCTTGCCGGTGGAGAGCTGCAAATTTTGTCCTATACTCGGCACATAGGGCCATTGAGCAGGGAGGGATCTTTTTCGTGCCAGCACCTACTGCGACACGGGGCCTCGGTTTATACGGTCTCATCCGAAGGACCTGTCTCCACGTCCCACAGTGGGATTCGAACCCGCGACGTAAGGATTGACTCCTTACTTCGCGACTCTAGAACAGACGCTCTAACCACTGCGCCACGCGGGCGACAGTTATGTAATAGAACCTTACGGCCAACTGCATGCAATTAGATTGTGTATTATATTTTATGAGGCAGTCCGCCGAAAAAAAAAAAACAGGCAATGCGTGGCACATCGCATGTCATGGGTTTTCATTATTTTTTGCATGCAGACTAATTAAAGCAAGTGTTACATTTTGGTGTTCCTCTAGTCCTTTCTTTGTTAATGCTTAATCTAAAGTGCAAAAAGGTCATCATGAGGATAAAAAAATACTACGTTTTTATTTTGTTTTATGAAAGATATGGAGATAACAAACAGTATTCAAGATCAAAAGTCTATAAAGAAATACAAAATATTTAAAAGGCGGACAACTTAAACTTTTTATTTTGTCAATGTGTAAGTTGGAATTCTAAAAAAAAAAAGATTAACCATCACACAAACAGTCTATCACCGGGCATACATAGAAGAACATTGGATTAAAAAAACTAGGGAGAACCTTTCCATATGGATGTAATGACACTGTTAATAGTTTTGAAAAAGCTTTCCAGTCCAGAGTGTAACAATGTAAAAAATGCTGGGACTTTAAAAGAAAATTAAAAACAGAAAAGTCCATTTTTTTGATTCCTCAACACCAGAATGCAGGCTCGGATTTGTTGTTATAGATATTGCAAATCACAGATTTTTAAAACATCCACATTTTACAGAAGAAACCCCTGCGAAATGATATTCATGATTTTAAGAACCTTTATGAGTTGTTCATAATTGTCCATGAATGGTTCTTAAAGGATTCTTAACAGGTTCATAAAAGTAGTTCATGAATAAAATTCATGAAAACATTCATAATTCATGGTTCATGAACAAACGATGAACAAATATGAATATTTGTAATTTTCAGTTTAAAGAAAAAACTTAATAGTTCAAGGTAATGAATGTTCATGAATTTTCATGAAGACTAAAAATATAAAAATAATTGTCACAAACGATCGCCAGAAAACACTCATTACTCCCATAATGCAACTTTTGTATGCAGATGCAATTGTTGAACAAGTCCCTGATTTAACATGCTTTTGTTTTGATTTTGATAGTATGGGATCAGAGCCGAGTAGGGGAACATAAGAGGTTAAAATCACTATTTTCTACTCTGTGTAATTGATAACTTAGATTCTTCAGGATAATAAAACTCTGTTATGAACTGTCCAGAAGGGAGATTGTAATTAAATTATGATCGTAATTTTAAAAACCGAATTTTCTCTATTTGTCAAACTTTTAACAAGTTGTAAGAAAATGAAACAGACTTACAGTCTAGGAAAAATTTCATAATCTTCGTAAAAACGTATCATAAATTTATTGACAACTAAAAAATTATATCTCTTGTCCGTACTGTACCGTACCATTCTTGGGTCGAAAAGCTTTATATTTTGATGCAGTTATAAAGTCACATTTTTCTGTCCATCGTGTGTAAATGATACAGCACAGGCTGCATGGTTGTGAAGAAGCTATGGCATGAACCACATTCGTATTTTGTAGCCTATTCTCCTATACACTTTCAAAGCTCAGGGTACTCAGTTTGAGGGCGAGTGGTTTCAAGAGATATTTGTTGTCCTCTGATATGGAGGCAGCCATACTTGAATACGAAACTATGGCTCTACAGGTATAATGTAAAAAAAAAAAAATCCAATTCAATAAATGATATAACTTATATTAATTTCAAAAAAATAATTTCAGTGAAAAATCATTCAGATGGTATTTGTTATTTTTTGTTTAACAAAAATCTTGGCAATTCGAAACTATTTCTTAATTAGCTCTGCATGACACTTTTTAAAAGGCGCAAACTTTGAAACGCGCGAGACGTTGGAAAGGGAATCGGTAGAGTGGGAGGATTATTTATAGCGTAGATCTAGTCATTCTTTGTCAACCTTTGAAGAAAATAACAGAATACGAAGAAAGAATATCCAGAGGATTAATTTACTTCGATAACTACAGATATTAGTGGTGAGTTACAAAAATATAAAGGCAATCGCTGAATCTGTGAGATATTTGTCAAGATGTTACTGTCTATTTGTAAGATTTCAGTCATGTCCTTTTTAATGAAAATTTTGTCAAACTTTGTTATGAATAAGGATCCAACCAAATTACGTTACATTTAATAATTAAAGATTGAAACATTCATCCTGTTCATCTATAACATCTTGAACATGGCGGGCAAGGGAAACAGGCTAAACTCCCGCTCGGAATGCTTTAAAATATGGCAGTGCCTATGATGCAGAATTAAATGAAACAAATATGCAAAAAAAAAAAAAAAACAAAAAAAAAAACAACAACAACAATTAAGTCTTAAGTTTTCACATTGATGAGCATTTTCAGAAAATCTTTGTTCTTGTAGGAAAAAGAGAAGCAGTTCACAGATAATGTTGATGAGTTGAAATCAGAAGATTAAAAAACTCTGGCTGCCAAAAAAAAAAAAAAATATAAAAAATCCAGGCTCTTGAAGAAAAACAAAAGAAAGGAATGAAAATATGAATCGTAATCCATCAAAGGATCCAAGTGATGAAATTCTGAAAATTCCACAGGGAAAGCCAATAAGATTTTTTTATTTGACCACCTCTGCTCAAAATCCTTGAAAGCCCTTTTAGCTGATGCCCTAATTGCTGAACACAATTTTCTGCCAGACAGTGAGACTTGGATTAAAAATCATTCCATTTTAGGCATACACTTTGAAATAGGCTGAATACGGAACCCACTTTCCTCTTGACCAAGTAAGGTTAAGGATTCTGCAAAGAGTCGCGTTTGAGTTGAAATTTTTCATAATTTTACTAGGAATGAACTACATAATTTATTTATTATCGTTATTACTTATCAGAGTTGTTTACTTTAACAAAGATTTTGTTACCATGATTGGAAAACGAAAATTCTGTGAAATCTTTCAAGATGCTATTAAAATATTTTCTTTTACAGTTTTTCATTTTGCATAACTTATTACATTTTTGTTTACAAAAAGCAAGAACATTCATGAATAGTTCATGAACATTCCTAAATAACTTTTACAAATTATTCATGAATAGTTCATGAAAATGCATTGAACCTATTAATATCATTCATGAACTTTTCTTGAAAGTTCAAGAATTATTCTTGATCATTTTGCAGGCATTTAAAAAAAATCCAAGTTTGTTCATGAACAACAAATAGTTCTTGAATATTCTTGAACTTGGTTTTCATGAATAAAATCCATGAAATCATGAGTGTCCAATTTTAACTTCATGGATCTTCATGAACAATTCATGAGCAGATTCAAGAATATAATTCATGAACTTTTCTTAAAAGTTCAAGAATTATTCTTGATCATTTCGCAGGGGAAATCAACCTTTTTTTTTTTATATAAATTTCAATTGCAACATGCCAAGAAAGGAATTGATACGGTTAATATAAGTAATATTATTAATCACAAAAAGTTCCATATTCTATCAATATCATATTTAAAGTTGAAGACTTCACCATGTATTTTCTACAAATAAACATCGACTACTGCTTCCGAAATTTTTACTTAGAAGAAAACTTTACAGACCCAAGATATATCTTCACCCTACAAATATAGTTCTGTTGGGCACGTTATTACTGTTGACATAAATATAGTAAATAACAATGCCGTTAAGCCATTAATTTTCAAAGGGTCTAAAATTAGGAAACCCCGACTTTTCAACTGGCGTCATAATTCCATCATTTTAATGGATTCCGTAAAAAAATACGCCAGGCAAGGGACAATACATGAAAAAGACCTTACCTGTCAAAAAGGATGAAATATATGGAGAAAACAAACAGTATTCAAGATCAAAAATCCCTAGAACAATACAAAATAGGAGCAGAGCAAACAAGGAATTCCAAAACATTAGAGGTGTGATCAGGTACCATGGAGGAGTGAGCATCCCATGCCGACCGGTCATACCCACCTTATGCTCCTCGTCATGATCGTGAAATAACGGAGAAATACGTTCTCAGTGTGTAAATAATGGAATAACAAAACGTCAGTCAGCATTTGACTCAATGATAAATTGGATCTGCTAACAAGGTCGTTGTATCGACCATAGAACTTACGAAATGATGACTTTAAACAAGAATGCTAATATTTTTGTTTCATTAACTTGTTTGTCATTAATTTATCTCATTTTAGAAATTTTACATACGTAAAGCATGCTCTTGATGATACATTAAATGTACGAGATGTATTTTAAAATCTCGTTTTAAGCGATAAGGGGGTAATATGAAAATCATGAGTATCCTTCTGTATTCTGTAATTCAGAGGTGAAGAAAGAATAAGATAGGTTACACGGTCAGTATGTAATGGTCCCTGCTGACAAAGCCAGGGACGTTAAACAACATACGAACAAACAAAGGGTCCTTCATCACATGCATACTGGGTATATACCTCTTATTTGATTAGATACATAAGAGCATGCTTAAGGTAGCAATTTCTAAATTGAGGTAAATTATTTACAAACAAGGTGCTGAAACAAGAATATCAGCAGTCTTGTTTAAAGTCATCATTTCGTAAGTTCTATGGTCAATACATTGACTTTGTCAGCAAATAAATTTAAAGTCAAATACTGACTGACGGTTTTCATACTTAGTTTTAAGCTATAACACTTAATTGTCGACGGATTTTCCGTTATTTCCCGATCATGACAAGAAGCACACGACAGGAGATGCTCACTACTCCATGGCACCCGATCCCAACCCTGATGTTATGGAAGTCCGTATTTGCTCTGCTCCATTTTTTTTTTGTTTTATGGACTTTTGAGCTTGAATATCCATATACTTCACTCAAGACTAAAGTAAGAAAACATACAGGATTTTTGTCTAACATTAAAGATTTCAGCGATCAAATTGAGGAACTTCATCTTTCATATTTTGAATTTCAGAAAGGTTTTTTTTAAAGAAGTAGGCGGAGATGTATAGGTGTTTATAATCTGATCTTTTTTATATTCATATTTATTCAAAAACATCTACGTGAAAATAGGAAGGTTCTTGTCATTGTCATCAATTCGACATACAGATATAAAGACAGGATTTTATGATTCAACAATATTCATTTTCATTCCTTCGTTGATTCGATATATCTCTTTGGAATTGAACAAAAGACATATTGCACAGAGTATGACACATATGTTCAATATCTGGATTTATTTTTATCAGAGAAACTTTATTCTAAATGTGATGATGTTTCTATCATCAGCTTTCCTTTATTTAGTGAAGCAATCTTAATTGTCCCTTTTCTCAGTTGATTCGATACACAAGAGCATGCTACATGCATCTGCATACAAACAATTTGTAAAACGCGACAAATTCGTGATAAATTCATGATTCATGAATATTAAAAGTCTTGTTAAAACTCACAAGTCAAAGTGGTCTTAAAAAGACACATTTGAAAACCAATTACACCATGTCAAAATTTCTGAGGGTAATTTTTATGGAAGAAAAAGGTGTCTGGATATCAAAATCCCGCTTCTATTTCATCATGCGAAAAGTTATATAAGGAAAAGAATGTCGTTGATGCTAAACACTTTTAAAAATGTTTAAAGTCTTAATTTCCAAAATAGGATCTTTTAAAGTCTTTGTGTATTTGCATTTAATTTACGCCATTGTAAGAATTTTTTTGTTCTAAGTAAATCTGTACGTCTGAAGTTTCTACAAATTTAAGTTCTTAATATTAATTTTCCTACATATTCGTGCGATTTAATTAAGCAATATAGAATATTTTTATGATCTTGTTCTACATGTACCTATAATATCAAAACTCTAATCAGGAGAATTGAGATTTTAACTTATGTCAGCGGGTTTCAAAATTTATTTCATGATATTTATTTAGAATGCAATGATTTTTGTGTGCAAGTAAACCGTTTTTAAAATAGAAAGTACACCCATACAAAAACTATTATTTAGACACTGCTTTTTTAAATAAATGTACACACATTTGAACATTTTCATTTCAAAATGCAATTTAAATTTTAATGTTAAATTTGACATTTTATAATACTTCAACAGTGTGAATTATTTTCCGTGTTAAATTGATCACATATACAGCGAAGCAACAAGGCGAGACACTTCCGGATCGGGATGGCTGGAAAAGCAGCTTGTTTCATAATTTTTGGTGTTTTTGAATCTTTATACCCTGGAAGCAGTCAAAATATATGTGAACAACCATCCAAGTAAGATAACATAGTAAATGATGCTAACTCAGTGTACGATGTAGGAAAAATGACGAAAAAAGTTATGTTAATAAAATAATCAATTTGAAAGTGTTCGTCTTATAAATACCATATATATAAATCATATTGTACTATCAATTTACACTTTCTTTAAATCTTATTAAACTTTAGTAAATTATTCACACATGTGTATAAAAGCAATGCGAAAAATTCATAGTTATTTCAGGATTTTGACTAAAAGAAATTATTTTCTAATAATACATGTTTTTTTTCTGTAAAATTCAGAAAAACCCATCAAATTAAGTAAATTTAATTTCAATAAATCAGCGATGAAAGTATCAAAAATATTCTTTCAAAGTTCTATACAGCTCACGCTCATTCTAGAAAACTTTCTCTGAAAATGCTTAAATTGAAGCGAACTTACAACATATGTATATTCATATACATAACATTACAGAGCTTTTGACTATTATCTCTATACATGTATATTTAGGAACAGAAAGAGTGTTTTGGTATAAGGTGAATATTTCTCAACAGGGAAATTTAATAGTATTTGTAGTGCGTATATATAAATAGTAAGTTGGATATTGGTCCGTGTAACACTTCCAAATCAGTTTGAGTTTTTGAACTAATATATTAACATCCTAAAACTCTAAATCGTTTTAGAGATTTGAATTGTTAAGTGTTACACAGACCGATATTGTTTTCCCTCGTTCTCATGAACACACATTTTTCAAATCACCCTAATCTTTTTAAGCCCAGTAATCGATTGTTTGATTGATTGTATATTAACGTCCCTTTCGAGAATTTTTCACTCATATTGGGACATCGCCATTTGCAGGTGGAGAGCTGCAAATTTTGTCAGATACTCAACACTTAGGGCCATTGAACAGGGAGGGAGCTTTTCCTTGCCAGCACTAGGGCTGGGTATTGGCCCGAGATTTCGTATTGCGATATATTGCGATATTTTTTTAACTGTATTGCGATATGTATTGCAATATTTTCAATGTAATAAAAATGGCATTTTCTTACTATATTTACTTTAATTTACATTCAGAATGTACATAACTATGATAAGTAACCAACACGAAAAAAAAAAATCTTGTTGATTTCATTTAGGCTCTGCAATGTTTCCACAAAACAACCTTTGACTTACTGTTTGGCTTAAGAACAAACTTTCATAAGTCCATTTTTATATTTAATGACAAAATCCCTTAATCTAAAAATATTGCCAATATATCGATATTACTAAATCGTATTGCGATACGATATTTTTTGTCATTGTATTGCAATATATTGAAATATCGATATTATTGCCCAGCCCTAGCCAGCACCTACTGCGACCATCCGAAGGACGGCTCTCGTCTCCACTTCCCACTGTGGGATTCAAAGCTACGACGTAAGGATCAACTCTCCAGTAATTAAAAATTCGGAGATATTTCGTTTTTGTCCTGTCTGTCCGTCTGTCTCTTTCTCTCCAAATAATTTTTTTAATATTGCCCATAACTTTTGGTTTGTTGGAACTATGGCTCTCATATTTTACATGTATATTTCATGTGAAAATGCTAATTTGAACTCTTGACCTTGACATTTTCTTGTGTCCAAAAGGTTGCGTTGCAATAAATGTCCCTTTTTATCCTGCATAAATCATAATGGTTATTTGTTTTGGTTTCCTTCTACTTTTTTTTTAGTCTTATGGATGTCGTTATGTTCTTTTGCTTGATATTTACATTAACTGCATCGTTTCTATCAGTTATCAAGACTTAGTCTTCACAGTTCTCCCTCAATTTGTAGTATATTCGAAATGTAATTGTTTTACACCTTGAGTATTGGGTTTCAGAGTCAATGCTATATATAAAAAAACAAATGTTTATCAATATAACATGCCCAGTTACCATGCAGAATTTAGATATATAGTAAAACGAATATTTTTCTCTACTTAAAACATATTGTTAAACTTAACTACATAGTTCTTTAATTTAGAGAGATGTCTCTTTAACATAGAAAAATATTTCGTTAAACTAGAGAGACATCTCTTTAAATGTAAGAGGTGTTTCAAGAGAGATATCTCTTTAACTTAGACAGATATCTCTTTAAGCTAGAAAGATAAAGGGTCTACCATACACCTCAGCGGTAAGCCTCATTAGTGACTGTTTCATCGACATCAATTTTTTTGTCTTGGCAGTGGAGAATTTTTTTTCTGTTTTCTATTCCCATTTATTTTACTGGAGAGCGCTTGATTAGGACAATAACTCAAATATCACGTATAAAACTTTCCCCTAGCTATTCCCAGTAAATTGAATTCTTCTAATAATATTTTTTTCTATTATGAAAATTGCTCCTTTAGTTTTGAAGTACTTATATGATTAATACACATTGAATGATCAAAAATACATTAATAATATGATTTATAATGAAAAAAAAAATTTTATGAAAAGAACTTCTATTTATAAGATATTAAGATAAAAAATTGATGTTAATTTCTTCCTCCTTTAGTTTTGATATACTTATATGATAAATTAACACTGAATGATTAAAAATACACTAATTATATGATTTATAATTTAATTAAAAACAAATAAAACTCAGATCCCAGAAATTCTAGAGGTAGGGTCAGGTGCCTAAGAGAAGTAAGCATTCCTTGCAAACACCTTGCCAAATACCACTTTAAGTGCAATAAAATCGCATGACTTGAAATATATTGTCAAAGTGGGATATGTTCAAACATCTTTACAAATGAATTATTGTTTCGAATGACTTTGAACGAAGTCAAAAATCCAACAACTAATGGTCAATACATGGCATAAGCTGTATCTAAAAAAAAAAAGAAACCAACGAATCAATTCAAAATTTGATATCACTTTTCATTTTTCTTATATATATTTTTCAATTATATATGGCATGAAAAACTTTAGTTTTCTTTATTATAACATTTAGTATTCTTTTTTTACCATTCACCCACTCGTAAGCACATAATTTATTGTGTCTCATGAAATTTTTCATTATTTTTGTTATGCTGCAACACTATCTCAAAAGAGTTTTTTTTCAAAACGCAATTTATACCGTGAATAAAAAATTAATTTAGAAAAACCAGAATGAATAACACTATAGCTAGAAATATTGATTGTATATTTTCACTGCAATGTTACATGTATGTATTTCATCTTAATTTGTAAAATGTAAGAGCTAATAAAACAAAGAATGAATAATACTAAGTAAATAAATATTCTATCTTAATTATCTTTCAGACCAGACGGTGTACCAATATGTTGCACATTTTACTTCTATAACGGAACTGATTGTATTGGTAAATTGAGTTTCACTAGTACTATTGTATTTAACAATCTTTTAGTATTTAAGGACAGATGATACAAACAAACTTTTGTAAAAAATTTTGAAAATAACAACAAAGGTCATGTTTTAATGAATAAGTTTCACCGCATAAATTTTATTTATATTTTATTCAAAGTTGCACAAAAATAATATTTGAAGTGAAAAATATTTGTGTAAGGATAGTTTCAGAAGGGTTGAATTTTGAACATCATAGAAGGTTTACAATTTCTGTATATTCTAGAAATTTATTATTTGCATTATTTGCAAAGAAATTACGTCAAAAAATATATACCAATCCAGGCATTCATTTTTTGTTTGTATTATCTGTCCTTAATGCATTTTCAAAGGTCTTGAGGCCGAGATTTTTTTTCTATTTCATATCATGTGCTGAGTATATTTTAATAAAGAAATCGTTTCTTTACGAATAATCCGTCTATGCATCTATAGTTCAATACTTTAAATTGTTTAAAACCTTTCATTTCATATATATCACTTTAGACTTCCTTATATTTGATAGAATGTCCACTAGGATACTACGGTGTGGAATGCAATATCCCCTGCGTTTACCCATCATACGGTCCAAGATGTAATCCTATTTGTAACTGTAGTGAAAATGATTGTGATAATGTACACGGATGTTTGTTAACGAGTGAGTTTCTTTTTTCTGAACTTCAAAATGCTTTGCTATTACCTTCCATCTTTCCCCTGCACAAAACAAATTTAAGTCTAATTCAAACTTTCTAAACAAAAAAAATATTTACCAAGTAAGCCAAAATGTTTTACCATTGGTGCAATCACAAGCACAACAGAGAAAGCGGTGAGAGTTGTGACCAATTAACTCAACTTTCATATTATGAACGCAAAGCCATGACGAATAGACGAAAAAAATGACAAAATTTAAGATTTACATAAGTAGTATAAGATTTGTTTGAAGGTAAAGGTTTGAGAACTTAAAAATCCAAAAGACTAAAATATTGCTTCATTTTGCTTTCTTCCCGTTTTTGGTATGCACATAGCTCAGTCAATAGACATGAATGTCGGATGTTCGAGGATTTTAAAACATTTTTCAAAAAGATAATGGTTTTAATCTTTACATGCTTTAATTCAAAACAAAGGTGTTTACAAATGTCATTCTCACATGCATGGCCTAGTTGGAGTGTCTAGTGACCTCTGCTCTAGAGTCGCAGGAAGAGATGATCCGTAGGTCGTGAGTTCGAATCCCACCGCGGGAAGAGGAGACAAGTCGTATGGAGGAGACCGTGTAAATCAAAACCGCCTGTGCCCCGCCACAATAGATACTGGCACGAAAAAATCTCTCACTGATCAATAAATCTTTAAGTCCCGCAAGTGATGGCGTCTCAAAATCAGTGAAAGATTCTCGTTTAGAAGTTCAATAACAAATAAATACTTAAAAATAAACAAACAAGTAAAGTCGATTCAAACAAAAACATCAAACGCATACAAAATAAGCATTTCATCACTAGTACGGGTTCCAGAAAATTGACACACTTTCAGTGTAGTTGTTAACCCCACTAATTCAAAATAAATGATCAGAATTTGTATGTCAAACCTTTGCCCCTTGGACCATGAACCAGACTTAGGCCTCGGGAAAAATATAACTAAAACGTTTATTACTAGTTCACTAAAACTAATTTTGTTTTGAAAAAAGCTCGAGATTGATAACACAATATTTATTAGATTTTTTTGTATATTGGATTGCTCCAATCCTACTAAATACTAAATTGCCTATTAAATAACTCCATCGCAACAGAGAAAATGCAATTCCAGCTAAAGATGTTACATGATCACAAAACCTGATGAAAAGTTGACAAAAATTAATAATCTACTCGATCAGTACAATGGACGCACAAGAAACCATAACTTCTCCTAGGCATCCGATCGCTACTTCGGAATTTCTGAGGGTCAGTGTCATACCCCTATCGCAGATTTGTATTGTTTGAAGTTTTGATGAAACCTTCCACTGTTCGTTATATTTACCCTTTTGAACCTCTAAAACATCAGAGATGTGATCAGGTGCCATGGAGAAGTTGGCATCCCCTGCCGACCGGCCACATCCGCCGTGTGCTCCTTGTCAGGATGGAGAAAATAATTGAAAGGATCGATGATAATTCAGTGTGTAGACGATGACCTAACAATTAGTATGAAAAATGTCAGTCAGCATTTGATTTAATGATAGATTATATTTGCTTACAGTCATTGCATTGACTGTAGAACTTGCTAAATGATGACTTTAAACGAGACTGCTGATATTCTTGTTACATTTTTTTCCCTCAATAGCTTACATTGTTTTAGAAATTTCGTCCATACATAATGCTCTTCCGCATTGAATCAGCTGTGAGATATAAACCCCGTGTGGTCAAAATTCTCATAGAGATTGTCAATCAGAAGTTTTATGTTGTTTTTAAAGTAAAATTTTGTTCATTCAAAATTTCTAAAAATTCCTTTGAACTTTTTAATATTCCCTTTTGATTTACACCCATTTTCAAATATCTTGTAGCACAGTACTCCTGAAGATTTCCATCATGATTGTAAATATATATTTTAGTGAGGAGTAAAGAAAGAGGCTTGTTAGAACATTTATTGGAAGCTGCTATGTTTCTTTGTATGTAAGTTTTTTTTTGGTGAAGTTTCGTAATCCAAAATAGATATGGTAATTCAAACGTTTGGTTGTTGGGAATAATAAAAATATTCGAAATTGACATAAGATTTTGAAGAATTTCCTCCATAGAAAGGCAGGTATGAATATACGCTGGATTGCCACTTGTAGAATTTTAAGTTTTAAAATTCAATTAAAAAATGAGCCATGCAAACAATGTTGTTACTTCTTTTGTCAACAGTGACCAATACATACTGATCGTGTAATCTATCTACACTCTGTTTTGGCTTCTGCATCATTCGCCTGCGTGGAGCAGTGGTAAGAGTCTGTTCTAGAGTCGAGGACAAAGGAGTTGATCCTTATGTTGCAGGTTCGAATCCAACTGTGGGACATGGTGATCGGTCATTCAGATGAGATCGTATAAACCAAAGTCCCGTGTCGCAGTAATTGCTTGCACGAAAGGGTCCCTCCCTGCTCAAGGCCTTGAGTACCAAGCATATGTCAAAAGTTGTTCTACATTGGCAAACGGTGGCATCTCCATTTTAATGACACATTTTCAAAAGGGACGTTAATTAATCACTGGTTTCATTTTATATCGTTATTTCAGACAACGTGAAAACAATCTTCTTGTTTTCGTCAATACTTTTATGTACAAAACAATATAAGGAACCCTGTTGTGTACATAACAATACAAACTGCAGCAGCCCATATGTCAATCCTATTAACGATAACTGGCACTTTTTGGTCGTTGTTCACATTTGAGATACCTCTCCAACACAACATCCTACAAATCAATGATTAATAATTAATAATTAATATTTAAATGTTTTAATAAAGGCATGTTTAGCTAAATTTTGTTTTTGAGAATTTCACGAACATATAAAAATATCTATCAAATGTTTTTCATGATATGCGCAACTTGAAAATTAGTTGATAGGCTTATTATATGGTCCAACCCCTAAATATATCCGTTTTTCTTGTGACAAGATCTTTTTATGCGCTTTAAATATCACTTGTAAATAGTTAAGGTTTAATTCCTCACTTGTATATTTAAGAACCCTCTATACACTGCGCACTAGAAAGTTCCAATTCCATGTAATTTTAGTGTTGTTAGAGTTATCTGTCCTTAGGTGTAAAATTTAAATAAATAGAAATTTAGAGATAATAAATCAATTTGTCATAATTTCGATCCTTCTAAACATTTCATTCAGTTTACATGAATAAACTGAAAACGTTATGTGCATATCATTCTCCAATTTAGGTAAGCAACAGTAATTTCTGTTCATCAAAACTTCATTGTTTTTTAATATCCTCAATCAAAGATTTGAACGTGCAATGCATATAGTTTTTGCCCTGGCCGTTCGTCTGTCTGTCTGTTTGTCTTTTTGTTCGTAAAAATTAAACCTTGCCCATAACATTTGAGTGGGTGAATGGGGCTATGGCTATCATATTTCATAGGTGTATCCTTCTTTGTGTAGCGCCAAATTTGACCTCGTGACCTTGACCTTGAATTTCGACCCATCTTTACAAAAAAGTTCCGGATTTTAGCTTCGGCATAACTTTTGTATAATTGAAACTAGTTCTTACATACTTTATGTGTATTTACTATGACAAAACCTTAGAATGGATATAAATAATTTTGACCTTTTGACCCTGACATTAGAGGTTGAACTGATTTAATTAAAATTCTAACCATGGTCATTACTTTTGAACACTTTTTACACGGCCTTTCATATTTCATGTGAGTATTCATTTTAACAAGAACTTCCTTTAGATAACGTAGTTCAGTCGGTAGAGCGCTCGCTCCGTGATCGGGAGGTCGTGAGTTCGTATCTCGGCCGCGACTGACTCAGTCGATAAAATTGGAAGCAACTGTTCCTTCGCCATGCGCTCGGCACTTTGAAGTGAAACTTGCGGGTCCTTCGGATGAGACCTTAAAAACCGAGGCCCCGTGTCAGCGGCAGGCGTTGGCACGATAAAGATCCCTCACTGCTCAATGGCCCTGAGTGCCGAGTAAAAGTCAAAATTTGAAGCCCTTCACCGGCATACGGTGACGTCTCCATATGAGTGAAAAATTCTCGAGAGGGACGTTAAACAATATACAATCAATCAATCAATCAATCCTTTAGATAACAACAATTTTGACCTTGACGGAGTTTGACCAGCATTTGAGAAACCAACATTCGCCATAAGCGGCCAAACGGGGGTATCAATGTTTCACAAATATATCATGTTTTTGGGAGAAAAGGACAGAACCTTATGGAAATAAATAGATAAATTTCATATATACATCTTTATGTAATCTAGTTTCTGTAGAGCCCCCCCCCCCCAAAAAAAAAATTCGTTGGTGTATAGAGGGTCACTTAATTTACTTCTTTAGAAAGAAATTGACATTATTTTTTAGGCCACATCGCACTTGATCATGTCTGATCCATTGGTGAACTGATTTGTTAGAGAAGTATCATAAACAGATTCACATTACTTCGGTATTAGCAGACTATAATTTTTGTAATTCTTCGTTATTTTTTTTTTTATAAAAAATAAGAAAACACTAACTGTGATCTTCAACTCGACATTTAGATCTATTGACGAAGTACTGTCAATTAAGAATGGCCATTTCCATTCTTATGTCGGTTAGATATATCTTGGTAAGCATGGAATAAAACGCTACAGAGTCTGACAAGTCTTTTACATTAGAATATTTTACGAATAAAGACGTTAATGGTAATCTAACAACAAAGGTTTAAGATAAACGGGATGGCTTTGCTTTTAAATCGTCAACTTCTGTTACGTTTGTAGCGATATACCTAACTCCCCTGCATACGGGGTTTATATCTCTCAGTCGATTCGATTCTCAGGAGCATACTCTACGTTTGAACAAATTGTTATCGTTTTTGACAAACAAGTACATGAAACAATAATATCAGTATCAGGAGTCTCGTTAAAAGTCATCATTTCATAAGATTTATGGGCGATACAATGACTTTGTCAGCAAATATAATTTATCATTAAATGAAATGCTGACTGACGTTATTCATATTAATTTTTTTGTTACTTATTGTAAAATCATAATTGACACAAGAAGTGTGATTATTCCGTCATTTCCCGATTATGACAAGGATCCCACGGCGTGTATGACTGGTCAGCAGGGAATTCTCACTCCTCCATAGCACCTGATCCCATTCCATTAATGTTTTAGAGGTCCATATGTGCTCTGCTCTGATTTGTATTGTTTTATTGACTTTTGAGCTAGAATGTTGTTTGTTATCTCCTTTTATTTCATTGCATAAATTAGGTTGGATAAATGTTCAAGTTATTTCATATTTTTCCTGGAAGATAATGTCCTTAAAACAATAAACAACAAAGTACAGTCTTTCATCAGCAAATGTCTCCGCCATATCCTTAACATCAGATGGCCGGAAACCACATTAAACAACCGCACATGGTAGAGGGGAGATAACAAACCAAATTCACATAGACATTGACATAAAGAAGAGAAAATTGGAGTTGGATAGGCCACACTTTACGCAAACCCTCGAAAAACATCACAAAACAGGCTCTGGATTGGTATCTACAAGGAAAAAGGGTTGGAAGACCCGGGTCCGTTTCACAAAAGGACTTGTGACTTTAGACCAAATTCAATTCTTCATATAACTTTTTAATTATATCGAAAATTATTTCAAAGTTTTTAAAAGAAATGTGGCAAGATATTTTTACAAACAATTTAAAAGAGAATTATTCATTTTGCGAAATTTTAGAATTATTTGAAGTTTTTGGTCTTAGTCGTAAGTTCTTTTATAAAACGGGCCCCAGGAAAAGGGACACCGTGAGAATTGAGGTAAAAGAGGCAGGTTTTACCTGGACCCTTTTTAAAAAAAATATAGCCCAAAACTGTGCGTGGTTGCAGCCCTTTGCTTCAAAAGCAGCGAACCAGAATAATTCAAGTTACTATTTTTAGTTATAATTCTTCTTACTAAAGCTCAATAACAATTTTACTTTCAAAATTTCTCTCAGAGTCGCTATGAAGGTTTCTTGAAATTCCAAAAAGGGCTAACCACTGTTTTACTTACACTTTAGCAACCAAGAATGCGTTTTGAGACGTTATTAGTACAGTTTGTGTACATTTACTGAATAAATCTGTCAACCCTTGTACATTTTTTCGCCCTTCAATCCTGTTAAACCATAAATTAATTAGTAAAATTTTTTGGTCGATACACAAAAATCATTCGTGCAGATGTTAAGGATCGAAAATGCGAAGTCAAAATGGACTACAGTCAAATAAGCTCAGCATGGACTTGAAAAAATTGATATTGATTTACTTTATTTACTTGAGACTGATTAGGTGAAGCTAAATGAGTTAATAAGTATCGTTTACGTATACAAACATCTTTTAATTTAAAAAAAAAAATGAAATGTGGGTTAAGTGACAAAACTGTGGCCAGCAGGAGGGATTTGATTCTAGCGCCATTGAAAATATCACCAGGGACTTTTTCTGCATTGGAGTATATAAGAGTTGCTTTAAACTCCACCTGCTCCACTGAATAGTTGGTAAGGTGGTCTATATTATAAAGTTCGAGGGGTTTCACTCGCTAATTGAACAATTTGCCGTAAAGTAAGACATTCTGCAAGTTAAAACGTGACAAAAAAGTAAAACTAGAGTCTAAAATAATTTGAATTTACACTCAAAAATTTCCTTCCACCGTCAAAAACAAGACGTTTGGAAAGAAATTTCACAAAATAATTTCAAGATTTTTATTTAATATTTTAACACACCAGTGCACGTAAGAGAAACTATAATGCTGTTTATAGCTAAATAGAGGAACGGTTTTCGCATTGTCCATGTTCATTAATTGTTATTTTCAATATTTTGGTTGCCTTGTTTTATGACTATTGCTAGTTGTTTGACACACATTTTTCATTGTTTTCCATAGTTGTAACGTTGAGCAAAGTAATGCAATGGCGAACTCGTTAGCTGAGGTTCACGATCTTACTCAACGGCACTTGTTTCGTATACGTGGCACCCCTACTCATTTTTATCTCAAGGTAACCAACTCATTTTCAGGTTACCCTGCTTCAAGCTTTTATTTTATTAATATATCAATCATTAATCTACTTTGAAATAACATCATTTGCTTTGAGAGATCTTTTTATTGCCAGTTGAGTCGTTTCAAAAGTCTCTGGTCGAGCCTGTTTATAATGTTTACCAATCATTTATTCCTCAACATTTCCTCAATACAAAATAAGACAGTGGATGAGATACATCAATATCCGGTTGGGGTTAAAGATATAGGATAAAACCAGAGACTTCTGAACTATGGAATACTCCGAAGTCCCTGAAAAATTATAATAATTTCCTACTTCTTATTTTCTAATTTCTTATAATAATAATAATCGTCGATATATTTGTTTTTGTTTGTTTGCTCTTGTGTTTGCCCCTCTCCAGAATCATTCACTCATATAACGTATAAAGTTAATTAGGAGAAGGAAGCAAATTTAAACATATTCAGCCCATGGGGTCTTTGGGCAGTGCAGGTGCAAACACCTATACTGCGACCTTGATTTATAGGTGTAATCCAAAGGACCGGTCTCCATGTCCAGCAGTGGAATTTGAACCCTTTACGTAAGGATCAGCTCCCACTCCTCGACTCTAGAACAAACACTGTAACCACTGCGACATGCGGCAAGTATAGATGTAAAAAGGGACGATAACGAACAGTACGTGATTGATCTAAAATAAAATCTTTTCAAATAATAAAACACGTATTACATAAATACATAACGACAAACGGGCAGACAAATCCGGATAAAGTGAGTTCTCAATGTCGCTCTGCTCTACAGGAAACACTTAAACAAACACAAAATATTTACCTATCAAATACCCTGAAAATATGGTTTTTAAACAAAAAGAGCGTATAATCATTTTATCATAAATGTCGTAAGAAATCATCAAAATTTGATTAAACTGTCATATAATATATGTTAAATAACAGCATTGAAAACAACTGTTTATTACTTATTGTTATTGTATATCGAATAAATAGAATATCTTCTAATTTGCTTTTAATTTACATGTAATTATATTTTAATGCTATTCCATTCAAACGCTTCCCCTTTTAATATAAGAGTACAAGTATGCTTTAGATTGGTTCAGGAATAAATCCCGGAAACTTTTAAAGAATTAATTAATGATAATAAGGGTATTAAAAGTTTCGAGGAATTCATAACTTCATTCTCTTGGGCATCATATTTCAAATGCAACAAATGTTGAAAAATATTATACAAACATCATTATTTTTGCAATTTGTTTGTCCTATAAGAACAGAAAAAGATGGAGTTTGTTCAACTGAACGTGAGTAAGTACTTGTGTTTTTTTTAATTGCTAACATTTTGAAATGAAGCTTCTTGTGTCTTCTTGAATTTTTTGTCTTTTTCCAAGTAGCTGAACAGTTCCAACACTTGAAGCAACTGTTTGACCACTATACTCTAATATCTATATATGGTGTTGTGCTCATCTTTCAAAACAAGTTTGGATAAAAAGAACCATTTAGAATATGTTCAATTTTTTGAAATATATTTTCTTTGAATCATCCAAGTATTTTCATCGATCGATATCTTTCAAAAACCCTAGCAATGCATGGGTTTTTTTCTTTTTTTGTTTATGAACATCTAATGGTACTGCGACTTTGAAGAAAATTTTTTTTTTAAAACTATCAGTAGTTAAGGTACGTTGATTATGTCCTTAAATGTAGTATTAAATTTTAATCTCTTTTTTTCATAGACCCATAAGATGTTGCACCGACTACAAACAAATCAAAGATAAATGCATTGGTATGTATTCTTTAAGAATAAATATGACCGACGGATACTGAATATTTTGCTTAATAAGAAGAAATGTGTAAAAATAAATAAAAATATCTGTAACTTTATATGGTATTCTTACTTGTAACGCTTTACAAAAGTACACCCCTGTCGGTCTAGCGGTGACATTCTTTTTATATTTAGTAACACTGACCCATGTAATGTTTACCATAAATTCATATCCTGCTTAGAAAGAGGTGCGATAAATTGGGTTCAAACTCTTTGAGGGAAAGGAAACATTCAATTAATATTTACAGCTAAACAGTTTTGTTCTTTAAGGACTAGAATGAGTTCAATGAAGAATGATTTTTTTAAAAAACTTTTCTTAGACAATGTTAGAGCAAATTGAGAATTATATAAATTGGTTTGACAGCAGTTTCCTTACATTGTCCTTTCAGCTTGCAATGGTAGTTTTGGAGTTCATTGTTCTCGAGACTGCCCTGTTGGTTATTGTGGTCATAAATGCTTAACAAAGTGTGATTGTGAGGACTGCAATAGTCATAACTGTGCATGTCCTGCTGGTAAGTTTATATATTTATTTCATCATACACTTGATTATATAGGAAAGATTACATAATCAGTACGTACTGGTCACAGATGACAAATAACAACATTGTCTTCGTTTGTAAGGCTCATTATATAACTTGTATTTTAGAAGAACATTGATTTAATTCTACAAGTGGTTATCGAACTTATACACATAGTTTCCTTTCTAAGAAATAAATTTTTCAAAATGATAAGTCAGTTTTGAATATTTTGAAAGTAAATTTCAATTACCACACGATTTTGGATTCTAAAATTTCATCAACTTCATAAAAATCCTTACAAACAAAGAAACATAGGGGGCTCCAGTAAATCTTCAATCAAGCCTTTTTATTTACTCCTCTCTAAAATATAGTGAAGGAGAAACTTCAAGAATACTGTGCAACAATATAAATATATTCGCTAAGTGATGCAATTCCGATGAGGATACTTAAAAATCCAAGGAACTTCTGGAAAATCTGAAATCACCAGATTTTACAAAAATTAACAGCTTAAAACTTTAAGACTTTTCAGCTTTATACAACCATTCCCCACGAAAATTAAAGTCCAGGCTTTTTGATTTCATTGACAGATGCTTTTTCAATCAAAAATGGGACTCGTAAAACTACTTACCTTTTTATTGGTAAATTGCAAAATTATTTTGTTAAAAAACCATTTTGATTGTAAATACAAGTTCTCTGAAGTTGACATCAAAAAGATGCTTGAGTTTCTAATTAACAATATCTATGTGTTTTTTGGAGGTCAGGTATTCCAACGATCTATTGGAAATCCCGTGGATACCAATTGCGCCCTGCTATTAGCAGTGTATTCATATGAAACAGAATTTGTCCAAAATCTTACACGTGAAAAGAAGAACACACTTGCTGTTGCCTTCAACACGACATTTAGATATATCGACGACGCATTGTCAGTAGACAAGGGATATTTAATTTTTGTGTCGATACAATATATCCCGGTGAGCTTGAAATAAAAGATACCATAGAGTCTAACACATCTGTTTCATATTTGGATATTTTACTAGAAGTGATATTAATGGTAATTTTATGATTAAATTGATGATTTTAACTTTTCAATCGTCAACTTCACTTACATATTCAATCGCCCCTGCTCTCAGATTTGTATTTTTGTGTATTTTATTATATAACGACCACTCTTTGCTTTTTTTTCTCTCAAAAGACTTAATATTACATTTGATTGTTTAATTATACTTATAATACTTTGTTTCAGATACGACATCAATTCGATCTTCTAAACAGGACATTTTACCTTTGCTGTTTGCAATACTTCTTCCCGTCTTTGGAATTTCTTTGACAATATTGGTATTTTTTATCTTCAAACACTATTGGTAATTGTTTTAAAATTCTGTCGGAATTTAGTTCTTTTTCATTGTTATTTGTAGCTCTATTGTAAGAGAACAGGTGAGCCTCTGCAATGTTAGATGTTCGTCGTGTGTAGAAACGCTATGGAGACTTCTCACAGTTTTAGTCAAATTTAAATAAGTATAAGTACATAAAAATGGATACCATGAACAGTTTTTAGAGTTCTTTCAGAACTCTATTTCTACAGGCTTGGTACAATTTCAGTAAGTATTCGTTCTCTATACCACAGTTTCGGATAAAGAAACGGGTTGCAAAGTTTAATAAATAGGTTAAGATCTCCTTCTTTCGTCTATTGTAAAGTAGGTATGACATTGAATTTGCAGTAATAATTATTAAATTCTTGCTCGCTGAGTTTTTTTTTTCTGAAGTGTATGTTTTTTTATCATTGACTCGCCAAAAATTTAGGGTATATCTGTAGATACATACAATAAATAAACTTAGTTACTAATAAGAATATATATCAACGATGACTAGTACAAATAATAAATTCAAACAGATACCTTCCATCTTATTTAAAGAGAACCTTAATTATGTTCCCCAAACGGAGTTTGGGAACATATTGATTTTACTCGGTTTCTTATTATTATTATTATTATTAAGGTCTTCCGTCTCCAACGGAAGACCTTCTTGTTATTCTTCGGTTTCTTTTTCCCTATTATTATTATTATTATTATTTTTCTTACCGATTTTGTGCACGCGATTTCTCGTAAACTACTGGGCCGATTCTCATGAAACTTTCACATCTGATAGGTACTGATCTGAACCTTATTGGAAATTTTTGTTGTTGACGTCGTCACTTCCGGTCGTGAGATATGGACAATTTCCTGATTTTAAAATGCAATTTTGTCTTGATTTAGTAGCAAAAACTGCTTAAGATATGAACTGAAGATTAATTGGAGATGATAGTTCATGACTTATAGCGTTGCAGAATCGCCTTGCCGTGCGTCGTCAGTACTTCCGGTCGATACCGGAAGCGAATTTAAAAATCGCAATTTTTCAACTTTTCTTTTTTGATATTTTTGTTTTAGAATTGAATAGAGACCCTTTTGCAGAAGCCAAATATGTAATTTGTTTGAAAATCAAAAAAGCCAATCTCGAGATATTTGCATTTGAAAACGCGAAGCGGCGATCTCAATGGCTAAATGGTTAGCGCGTTGGATTGTCACGCGGGCGACCCGGGTTCGATCCCCCGTGTGACCAAAAAATTTTATCATTTTTTCTGCTCGATTTTTCGATATTTTTAAATTTTAAACCAATTGGAACAATATATTATAAACTTTTCAGCATATCTTGCGTAATAAGGGGTCACAAGGGGCCAGAATATCACATCTTTGACGCTTTATATCTTAAAAAGGGGGAATATTTTGATAAGCAATATCGAACAAAAGATGGTCAGAATAATGTTCTAAACAATATACATACTTTGAATTTTTGTAAAACGGCCCCATTAAGGACTTGTAGGAGTGGCCCCTAAATATTTTCATTGAGCATATCTCCACAACGAAAAGAAATCTCTGAATAAGTGTTGAACAAAAAATCTTCAAAATCACAAGACATTTCATTTGGTATCAAGAAAATGGGGCTGACCCCTCAAATTAGGGGCTCATAGGGACTAAAAGTCTTTTATCAATAACTCTCTAACGATCTATATTTTGTTATACATTACTGAAGCAAAAGTATTTATCTTACCGATTTGCAAAAATATATGATGATATTTTAATAATGTTTTACGTAATAAGGGGTCACAAGGGGCCAGAATGTCAAATCTTTGACGCTTTATATCTCGAAAAGGGGGAATATTTTGATAAGCAATATTGAACAAAAGATGGTCAGAATAATATTCTAAACAATATGCATTGTGGCAACGCACTTTGAAAAAATTACGCACTTTGAAAAAATTTTTCAAAGTGCGTTAAAATTGGGACAAAATCAACGCACTTTGAAAAATTTTTTCAAAGTGCGTTAAATTTTGGACCAACTCAACGCACTTTGAAAAAATTTTTCAAAGTGCGTTAAAAGTCTACATCAATATATTTAACCATGGATACACTTAACGCACTTTGAAAAAAAATATCATATTTTAGTCATGGAAAGATTTTATTTATTATTTTCTTTCAAAAAACTAAGCCTAACCCTAACCTCAAAAATGAATTGATTTACTCCCGTCGAAAAGAGGAGAAGACGGGTATAAGATCCCTAAGTCCAAATCTTTATCTTTCCAATACATAGGTGTCGGTAACAAACGGGGGAGGGGAGCAATAAACCTAAAAAGGGTACGCTGCATTTTCAATGCTTATACGATGTATATATATTTTCAAAATAAGTGGGGGGGGGCCCCCCCCCCCCCATCCCCTCTCATGGCCCATCGCCCAGTCTCGAGGCCTATGCTATACTCAAAGCATTCATATAATTATGTATTTACCTAATTGGTATGACGTTGAAAACTTTCAATATTAAATGAGTTAATTAAAACAGATGAATACTAGAAATTTTGAAGTACAGTAAAACTTATGAGAGAGAAAGAATTTTCATAGCTTTGAACAAATCAAATTGGCCCCTTTTTATTATGATAGATGCTAAGTTACTTGAAGCTGTCCTCTGTTAGTGCCCCCTATACACCTGTACATCTACTTATCAAAGACTAGAGTAAAAAAAAGAAGAAACGAATTAATGAACTTAAATAATCGTCACTCTTTTTGTTCAAGACCCTTTTTTCCCTTTTATTTTATCCAAACCTTAAATATTTAAAACGTCAATATCTCAGGTCCTACAGTGACTTTATCATTAAAAAGTTATCAAACCAGGATCTATTATTTATCATACCGATTATTTAGAGGAACATTGACAATCTTTACATTTTTTTCAAAGTGCGTTAATATGGTCGATATTAACGCACTTTGAAAAAAAAATATTTTTTTCAAAGTGCGTTAGCTTGGTCCCAAATTTTAACGCACTTTGAAAAATTTTTTCAAAGTGCGTAATTTTTCAAAGTGCGTTGTAACAATGCATACTTTGAATTTTTGTAAAATGGCCCCATTAAGGACTTGTCGGAGTGGCCCCTAAATATTTGTATTTAGCATATCTCCACAACAAATATAAATCTCTGAATAAGTGTTGAACAAAAAATCTTCAAAATCACAAGACCTTTCATTTGATATCAAGAAAATGGGGTTGACCCCTCAAATTAGGGGCTCAGAGGGGCCAAAAGTCTTTTATCTATAACTCTCTATTGATCAATATTTTGTAATACATTACTGAAGCAAAAGTATTTATCTTAACGATTTGCAACAATATATGATACAATTTTGATCATATGTTACGTAATTAGAGGTCTGAAGGGGCCAGAATGTCAAATCTTTGACGCTTTATATCTCGAAAAGGGGGAATATTTTGATCAGCAATATTGAACAAAAGATGGTCAGAATAATATTCTAAACAATATGCATACTTTGAATTTTTGTAAAACGGCCCCATTAAGGACTTGTAGGAGTGGCCTCTAAATATTTTCATTGAGCATATCTCCACAACGAAAAGAAATTTCTGAATAAGT